CCCGGAACCGCGGGATGCTAAGGAACTGCGTAAGTGGCTAGTAATCAACTACTATGGGAAATTCCTTGAGAACCTGGCGAGTGTCTTGGCTCCGCTCTATCGTCTTCTAAAGGCAGATCAGCCCTGGCAGTGGGCTGAGGCAGAGAAGTCTGCTTTTCGGAAAGCCAAAGAGATGCTAGTTAGCCCTCCTGTACTAGCCCATTTTGATCCCGCCCTTCCGGTGGTTCTCGTCTGTGACGCGGGACCGGTCGGCATTGGCTGTGTGTTGAGTCAGCGGACGTCACAGGGCGAGCGACTTGTGGCCTACTATTCGCGCGCGTTGAATGACACCGAAACTAGATACTCACAGACTGATAAAGAGGCATTAGCTGTAGTGACCGGCGTTAAGAAATTTCACTATTACCTAGCGGGGCGAACTTTCACTATACAGTCAGATCATAAGCCTCTCATAGGCCTCATAGGAGAGCAGAAACCTTTGCCCGTGATGGCGTCACCTAGGATGGTCCGCTGGGCTCTGATGCTTGGGGCCTACTGAGTACCGGCAAGGATCTAAGCAAGGCCACTGTGACGCGCTTAGCAGGCTGCCTTCGTGCGAGGAGGCTTGTTCGAGCGTTCCAATTCCGGAGCTGAGACTGTCCATTTACTTGAGTTCATCGACTCATCCCCATTCCCCAGTGAATGTGTCCCAGATACAGCGGTAGACCGCTCTGGATCCCGTATTGTCAGCGGTACATCGATATGTCAGAGATGGCTGGCCGGATGTCAATAGTGTTTCCCTCAGCCCTGATTTTCAGCCGTACAGGTCCCGTATAGGTGAACTGAGTGTGCAGGATGGCTGTGTTTTGTGGGGGTCACGAGTGGTGGTCCCGCCGCAGGGACGGGGTGCCATGTTAAAGCTATTACATGAAGGTCATGCTGGCGAGTGTAGAACCAAAATGTTGGCTAAAATGTATGTTTGGTGGCCAAAAATCGATGACGACATTCGTGATATCGTGAAGTGTTGTGTGAAGTGTCAGGAACTGAAGGGCAGGGCCCCTGACGCTCCACTGCATCCTTGGCAGTGGCCGACTCGACCTGGCAGCGAGTCCATGTAGACTATTGCTCGGCTAACGGATAGATGTTTCTGGTGATAGTCGACGCCCACTCCAAATGGATGGACGTCTACCCAACTCGTTCCTCCGACTCACTGATCACGATTGAAAAATTACGAGCGTCGTTTGCGTGCTGGGGAGTGCCAACAGTGCTAGTGACAGACTACGCCCAGTGTTTTGTATCACAGCAATTCAAAACGTTTTGCAGTGTAAATGGGATCAGGCACTTAACGACACCCAGCCTATCACCCAAATCAAACGGCTTAGCCGAAAGAAGCGTGCAAAGCTTCAAAAACGGGCTGTACAAACAGATCTCGGGGTCCATTGAGACCAAGGTCTCTCGATTTCTGTTTAGGTACCGCACAACACCGCATACTACGACCTCATGTACGCCCGCCGAATTATTTCTGGGTCGTGTGCCACGCACTCATTTAGATGGTGTGCTACCAGATAGGCAGGAGCGTATACGGAGACAGCAGGAGGCTCAAAAGACGTACCGATCGAAATGCCCGTGAACGATGTCTGAACCCGGGTGACCCTGTGTATGTGCCTGCTGTCGATAGATTGCAGGGATTGGAGCGTTGTCGGTGGGCGCCCGGTCGTGTAGTGTTCGTTGAGGGAGTTAAGGTCACTGTGGAGCTAAATGACGGAAGGGTGATTGTGCGGCACGCCGACCAGGTTCGTGAGCGATATTCAGCTGTTCCGCATGTCGCTAACGATCCTCTCCGTTCCAGAGTGACACCGATACCTGCTCCTGATCCGGTCACGGAGAGCGCCGCTGCATCTGCACGGCATGCTCCCGTTCCCGGACAACTGGCCTCCACTCCCGACCGGCTGTCGGCTCCTGATCGAGCGCCTGCTCCTGGCCGGCCGCCTGTTCCGGCGCCGCCAGGGCTGACCGGAGCGGTGCCCGCGCCGGGTGTGACCACCGTCCCGCCGTCCGCACCCTCTCCCAGCGCGCCGCAGTACCGGCTGAGAGACCGGTCCACCCTGCGGCCCCCAGACCGATACGTGGCGAGCTATGAGTAGGCGTTTTGTTTCAGTTGTTATTTGTTCTGTGAGGTGCGTATTTATTTGCTTGTCCATGCTGTGCAAGTATTCGGGGTGGAGGAGTGTCATGGAGCTGAGCTGGCGGCCGCCGCGCCGGTGCACGCGTACTTGCGCTCGTGACATGCGCTCATGACACTCGTATGTGAACCGTGGTGGCGTTGCCTCTGTGACCCGGAGGCTACCTGGCCGGCTCGAATACAGTTTGGACCGAGACACCGTCTGTGATAATATGCATTCATCCAATTTTCCAGCTTCCACATTAAACAAGAAACTGTGCGAGCAGATATGGCGAAAAAATAGATGTCCGGATAATTTCGTTACACCCTGTATGTTCTAGTGCAAACTAATGCTATGATGCTAGGGGAGCGGCTGCAGGCTGGCGTAGCGCGTGCGGCCTTACGTTGGTTGGGTGAACGTGCCACCTTCTGCTGTGGGGTGGGTGGGGTGGGGGAGGTCCTCCTTGACCCCGTGCCGGCCCCGCCACCTGTGCTGCGCCATCTTTGGGCTGGCGACGGTGTGGAAGCGCGTACCTTCCGTCAGTTTTCCAGGCATCTGAAGTCTGAACTCGGCGCTGGCCCTGTCGTCGATGTCTGCGCGTGAGCCGTGACGGGTGCCACAGCCTGCTGGCACCGGCGGGTACGTGCCGTGTATGTACATGTGGTGCGGACTGCGGGACCGACTTGAACCACTCGAAGCCAACGGAGACCAGCCACCCTCATTCGCTCAGATTTATGTGAACGACCCACGAGCCGAAATACTGATGCCGAGGACCACGCACGCATTGTGGCATCACATAGAGAACACCTATTACATCCGGGAACGACTCCGATCGGCCATTTTCGGGAAATTTACCGTCCGCGGTGAATATTCCTGGGAATATGCTCTGAACGTATCAACCGAATTTGATGTTAGTGCCGGACCCGTGGACTCGGAACTGCGTCACTAATGCCTGTTCATAAATGTAGCGCGGCGTGAGCCATCCATGGACTGCGTGTTTCTTTTTTCCAACCAAAGGTAAGCACTATACCTGAAGATGCTTCTTTGTAACCAAACCAGTATAACGCCTTTTGGGGCGACTAACGGAGCGAGCGAGAGGGTGGGCCTTGCACGTGCGAAATTGCGAGGGGGTACCTCCAACTGACTTGTGCACGGCACCCTACTAACTGGTCTCTAGCGATGTGCCAAATTTGGGCACAATCGGCCCAGCCGTTCTCGAGATCTGGAAGCGGCACCCTGCACGTGCGCACGTGCAAAATGGGTCCCAACTAACTTGTGCACGGCACCCTACTAACCGGTCCCTAACCGTGTACCAAATTTGAGCGCAATCGGTCCAGCCGTTCCCGAGATCTGGAAACAACCCCTGCACGTGCGCACGTGCAGCAGCACCCCAACTCTGGCACATGTATATGCAGTGCCTAGTGGGTGCCTACCTACATGCCAACTTTCAGCGCAATCGGCCAAGTAGTTACCGAGATATTGCAACAATTACAAAACTGACACCTCTTCGTTTTGCACGTGGCACGTGCATAAGGGGTCACCCACATGCATCGGGAATAGTCCAATACTTGGTAGAAGGAATGAAGCTACCCTACAAAAATTACCGCGTGTAAATCGGTCAAGTGGTTGCTGAGATATAAGCCTCGCAAAAGCGTGACCACGGCCGGCCGGCCGGCCGGCCGGCCGGCCGCTCATACTCAGAAATTTCCGTTAATCTAAGGAAAGACTACGCTCGCTTCGCTCGCTCCGTAACCAAACAAAAACTAACAACCTAACCTAACCTAACTTGACCTAACCTACAGCCTACAAACCTACAACGCGCCAAAAATTTCAGCCGCCGGCGGGATTCGAATCTTCGGTCCTCTGAACACGGGGCGAGTGCGCTAACCAACCACTTCACCTCGCAGACAGCTGGCCGGATAAAGGTGTTGTAAGTCACTTGACAATGACGCACTGGGATATACTCCGTATAGCGCCTTCCTTTGATTGGAAAAAAGAATTACTTACGCCCGTGGACTAGCCTCTTCAACTCCGTAGCAGTGTCTCCCAATCTGCGGAAAGTTCAGCTGGTCGCATGATAACCGTGGCGAAGTTTTCTGGCTCTGTTTCAACGGCTCCTTCATATTCCCTTCATATCAGCATAAACCAGATTTAGGCTAACTTGCAATTAAACGATCAAAAATGTTAGCTTAAGTTTCGTTAGGGTAAATTAAACGGTGTTTTATTTGGTTAGGCTAAGCCCGAAAAACGCGTATAAATGAGTAGGTTTTGGTTCGAGCCAAACACTGCACCGATCGAGCCTACATTTGGAATGCATTTCTTATGGAATCCAGCTCGATGATTGCCACCAACTAGGATAAATGTCATTCTCATTTACCAGGCGTGCATGTCACTCCACCTCAACGTCCTGGAAACGGCTGGCACGAAGCAATGATACTTTCTATTTGATCGCCAGACGTGACTCCGATGCCATTCTTATTATTTATGTTAGACAGTGCCAGCATCGTATAACAATAAGCTTTATACCGGAGCCAAGCGAACGCTGGTCCTAGCTAAAGTCACTGGTAAAACGAGCTCATTTATCGTTTCATGTTGGAATTCGACTTTACATGGCGTATCATCGCCCTCGTGGATTATACTGGCTATTGGCGTATATTATATTTCCCAAGTGGCATTTACCAGGATGTTGGTTGTCTTGCCTGGTAATTCATAACCACTCCATCGTTACATAATATTTAATTATATCAATTTGTCAATGTCACAGTTCGGGGAGCACTTACGGTCTCAGACAGCTGTACCACACAGTCAAATACAGCCGAACCCTCGACCGTTGTGACACAAAGTTCCGGCCCTGTGACCTACCTTGCTCTGTGACCGGGACGAGTTTTTGCCGACCGGTGTGACGAACTGGGCTGGGAAGGTGCCCCGGCGGCCGTCCAGCAAGCCAAACAGCCAGCCTGTGGACATGGACACATATGTCAGTATCATGCAAGCTTACCCGACCTTCTCACACTTCTATGGGTTGGCTATAAGGGCATGAAGGCAGCCTGGAATGACATCGAGTGAACACAAACAATATAAAAAGCACCAATCTCTCCGCAAGTCAGACATCCAGCCTGCGAAGTTCGTCAAGTTCGAACTTTAAAGATGTCAAGTCGTTAGTCCGAGGTCATAAAAATGACCGCCAATCCCCTCGACAAGGCCGAATATCCTGTCTTCTAAGTTCTAACTCATAAGCCAATGTCCAACTTCTAGTCCCAATAGCTCAGAAAGTTTGCAAACTTTCACACATCAACACAAAGTAACTACTTCTTCTCTCCTAAGCAACACAGATAGCCTCCTTTCGAACACGATCAGCGCCTCCCCCACATCCCCTCCCCTCTCCCCAGATCATCAACCCTATCTCTCTCCACATCTGCTCCCATCTCATCCATTGCCACTGACACGTCCCCGTTCAAACAATGGCCAGCCCACGTCGTTACTGTCGGCCGTTGCCCCAGACGGTGAACGCAGTGAACCGAAACATACGGCGCCGGACAGCCTTTCGCCGGAAATACGGCTGGGAGGGGGAGGGGAGGGAGGTGATATCAGCTGACTGAGCGGCTGACAGAGCTGTTCGGTAAAGCCGTAGCAAAACAACAACAACACAACAATAACATCCAGATCCCCACCAAACCTTAGACTTACTGAAATAGGCTTTTTATTTTGTTTTGTAAAAGGGTCGTTATTTTCAGCTGGATCCTTAAGCTAGATACCAAGGCTTAATCTCAGTGTAGAGCTTCAAAGATTTGTCATGAAAAATGCAAAAATTAACCTAAGTTTAACCCATTATATTAGGGGCTGGGATATATACCAGCGGATTTTTTTTTTTCAATTCTACTCTTTAGCACGCCGCACGGTGCCCACTAGTGGTGTCAATCGGAACTTGAATCTTCGGAATTCCGATTTTGTCCAATGTCCAATTCGGAATTTGGTTGGACAATGACAGCAGGCTTTGGACAACTTTGGACAATCTCTTGCTACACCTCAATTTTTTTTTATAAAGTAATTGTGTTTAACATTGATTGGCCATTAGAAAGCTCAGTTTTCCATATGATTAACACTTTTGAGCTGGTAACGATACATTAAAAGCGAATTAAATAACGGTGTTGAGTGTAAACTATTGCCTAGATGTCGGACATCTTTGGACAAATGGCTGGCTTGGACATTTTTGGACGGACTGTCGACGTAAGTATTGGACATTGGACGGACATTAAACATACGTTTTCCGAAATTGACACCACTAGTGCCCACCTTGCTGTAACGTTAAAAGCTGGTTAAAAGCATTAGGTACACCGCAAACCGTTGAAAGCTTTTCTGAGATACGCGTCGGCCTATGAGCATCAGCGCCGGCCGCTCAAAATAAGTAAAATTCTATTATTGGGTGATAATTGATGATGAAAGCCAAACGCAGAAGTGTTGGACGTCGCTAGGAGCTGGGCTTTCACTGACATCTATCGGTAGCGAGCTGTTCAGTTATATTGTGGTGTTGCTACATACGGCCACCAGGTGGCTAGGTGTGCATAAGCGGCATCCAGCCTATCATATGTGAGCAAAACCGCCGTATAACTAGCTACTCATCCGTCCTCGCCATTCTCAGGACAATCCAGTCGCATTATCCCCATTCTTCTTCCCTTTCCAGGCTGGCTTCCATCTCCACCGGAATACCGGTGGTAAGGGCAAGTCCTCGTTGGACAAACTACATAGACCTTCTCCGGGGTGACCGTTTGAGCAGCACAGCGAACTGTCCCATCGGGACATTCCTGTCCCACTGGGACAGTCTCTGCCGCTCAGGCGCACCGTCGGACGTCGGTGGCCCGCACAGCCCAATGTCTACAGTCTACGCCCTACATCGTCATCACATAGCTCTGCAATGGCCTTTGCAGGCAGAGAAGAACAATTGTCCCCAAAAAGAACATGTTAGTCCCAACAGGACAAACTCAGCCACTGCGACGCTCGAACTGGTGGCCGCACAATCCCTAGTTATATCACGTATTGGTCTTCTTATCCCACGGCCCTGCAATGGTCCTCCTAGACCAAAAGGGACCTTTCTCGTCATAATCTAGGCCCAACCCTAAAAATAAAGCATTACACTCCCAGAAATTCATTTGAGCAGCTTGAGCTGACAGCGCTTACCTTTCTCGGTCGGTTGGCTCTTCTTGATGACTCTGATGAGGTCTCCCTTCATAAAACTGAGCAGAGACGGATCGTGGCTGGTGTAGTCAGCGGTCGCTCGGACGTACTCGTGCGAGCCCTGGCGGCAAAAAGAGAAACTACTGTTAGAACAGGCTCAGGTCTAGCAGAGATGGCGCTGCAAAGGCCACCAGTTCGGGTCTTGCTCGTCTCTCTGCTTAGGAAAAATATTTTATTGATCCATTATTGAAGTTTTAGCATCACTATGCTGGATGTAAGAAGTGGCCTGTTCGAGCATCATTATGAATATCATTGTGTAGAACATGACCTTATGCTTAAATTATAATGTATTGATATTGAAATAAGATTTAAAAATATCATTCCAAAGACATTTCAATGATTTTTCTTTATTTTACGGTCATTTCCTTGGAAACGGTCGCCCGTCCAGAAGGGCCGCTTTAGCGGCAGGGTTTCCTGTCTCTCTCTCTCTCTCTCTCGGGTTTCTTGGCACTCCAGTTCCAACGGGATGGGCTCAGCCGTGAGTTCTCGGGAAAACGAGCGTGTTGCTCGTATCAAGACTGAGTAAGAGTTTAACACGATTTTGTAGCGACCCTGGGTAAGCGCAGTTTTGACGAGCGTCGATTTCAAAGAGGGGTTTCTATCACTTATTCGGTCAGGTGAAAGGTCAAGCCACTAGATGTCATGTGAAGCTAGACTTTCAAGATTTTCACATGCTTGTATAAATTGACCCTTTGCGTGATCATCTAATATAAGGGCTAGAATGTCACTGAAAAGCATTTGGTAGATCTTTAGCATTTCTTCCTTTCACTAATAAGTTCTCAAATTTGATCTGAGATCAAAAGGTAAGCCTACAGAGGCAAAAACCGTCCAAAATGATTTTTACAGACATTTTTCTGCAATAGCATTTGACTGAAAATATTACGACATTCATTTTAATCGTAGAGCCTGACGATGAAGAGAATATGATGAAGCTCGTCGAGACATGCCGAAGGAATCCAAATTCGACCTAACTAAAAACGTCCATCGTCCCCTGCAAAGTGACCTAACTAAAAACTTCGTTCAAATAATGATATAACCGGTAGAAGACCATGCTGCATATCAGTCAATCTGCATCGTTAAACTAAGAACATACAAGCTGTCCCCATCGCTCTAGCATGCCTCTGGTTACCATCTTATGTAGTCCTCGTCCTATGATATTGTGGTGTGTTGTTACAACATTATACCCATCTTGAGTACTCGTAAATCGCCCTAATATTGTCATTGGCAAACGAGTACCCGAGTCACGATGCATATTTTTCATCGTTAAAACCCACTAGAAGCGTGCATAAATAACGTCTAAGCGTGCCTCCCCATTTATGTTTTGTCATCACAGAACGCCTGAACATTCACCATAAAACCACTAACTGCTCACACCGTAATACAATTAAGTACTTAACGGATACGGAGCCATCCCGTTTGGTGTTAAATAGGTCACGACTACCAACCCGCGGCACCCCGCGTTGAGCGCGCCGTAGGATTGTCATTAGCCGCTTTACCACCGGCTAGCTGCAGGAGGGATGCCCGCAGGCGCAGGCGGAGGCAGCGGCGCGTGCAACAATTGCTGGACGGTACAACGGCACGGGGTCGGCTCTGGCGGCCACGACGGGTCACGGTGGAGAGGTTTGGTGGCCGCTGAGCTGACCTCTGGGGTGACCTCTTATGTGACCTCATAGCTGACCTCCCAAGTGACCTTTGGAATGATCTCTTGGTGACCCCTTAGTTGACCGTAACATGTGGCATTATATGTGACGCATAAGTGGCCTTACCGGTGACCCTAAATGTGACGTCACATTTCTGATCTCGTAAGGCCAAAGCTGAGATATAACGAATGCAGCTGTCGGACAAAAAAAAAAAACACTCAGGTTTTAGTAAACAAAAAGTCTGAAAACCTTAATGCCAGACTCATGTGGTACCTAATTATCATTCGGTCGCACATCTTGGATGGAAACGGGGTTTGTGGTTACCGTTTCAAATGTGCAGTGTAAAAACCAAATATAAGTATAACTCCGTGCGGAACCTGATGCTGCCACAAGACAAAAAAAAAAACGAAGTGATAAAACCTACAGTACAGTCAACCACTTGAGACGTATGCAGACTATTTTGGCGGAAAAGACTAGTTTCCGGCCTCGTCACGCTTGTCAGTCATCTGATTAGAATAGCTAACCGCATTGGACGTCTGACCTTCGCAACTTCACGTTTTACACAATGTGAAGACCAGAAGACCACCAGAACGAGACACTCCTTCAAATTTAATACCTCAGGAGGCCAGAATGAGCTGTCAAACATACTGGAGAAACAGAAGAGGAGTATACAGAACGAAATGCAGTCCTACCTGGAATATGAGCCGTGACAGCGTCACCGGGTCCAGCTGATCCAGAAGTCCCGAGTACAGCGGCAGAACCACGCCCAGAGCACGTGCAGTCGACACCGCTTCGTACCATCTCGCGAGGGTTGGAGGAGTGTTGGTCAGAGCGTCTACCATGTCTTCTTCAGGTACCGGCTCTAGAGAGCCAGCGCCCTGACCTGGCGACGAGCGAAGGTGTTTTCTGCTGCTCCGTGGTTCCTCGACATCGTCACCTCGTCCGAGATGGGTTGACGAGGTTGAGATGATTGAGTTCGTGCTGCTGGTTGACCAGTTGGGGTCACTCTGACGAGTGATTGGGATGGTCCAGTCTGAACGAAGACGGACCACTTCGTCGTCATCGGACAAGCTCAGCAATCGTCGTGAAGTGGGAGGAGATGATGACCCGCGTGTTGTCCGGGCAGAAGTACTAGCTGCTTGACGAGTCGGGCGCATGGAAGACCATCCTGGGGAGCGACGCTGAGCACGGTTCGTCTGGAAACTTTGCAAAGTGTTGAAGGACCTCTTCACGTGAAGACGATGGTCTGGAAGCTGCATAGATGGTCGGAGTGAGAATTTCTCCGGAGGCATTGTGCGGCTTTGTGGGTTGTACCGGGAAAATACAAACGAAGGCTTGGAGAAGGCATTTTCGATGGCTTCGGTTCGTTTTCTCAAGATACCACGCACAGGCTTCTCGACAACGTCCAAACCACTGTCTACGCTGCGAACACGATTTAGAGAGTTGGACGTCTCCTTCTTCGCCAGGTTCTCCGTACTTTGACAAAAGTTCCGCCCAGAGCGTCGAGTTAAAGAGCTGAGTGATCCCGCCATAGGAAGTACAGCGTTGGCACCTGTCTTCGTGGAGGTAGGGGATGCTCGATTCGACTTAGTGATGTTCGCTGCTCCCTGACTCTTGTACCGCTGAGACTGGCGGACGTTGGGTACCTTGAGCGCCGCTGTGACCCCACTTGCTCCATGATTTGGCGAAGGGCAGACGTGCACTCCAGATGAGTCCGTGCAAGAGGAACAAGTTACTGACGAGCCCAGCGACCAACTGTCGGTAGTGGTGCCCTCATTGCCGCTGTCTAACAATTCGGCGCCCATTTCTGTAGAGGGTCCAAGTCGCTTTACGTTCGCAGGACTCACACGAACATCTCCTGTGACCACTTCGCCTCCCTCGTCAGCCGCCGGGCGCCGCCACTTCAGCATACGATAATTCAAAATTTATGTCCAATTAGTGTCAAATCAGCAAACTTAATCACGAGGCAGCACTTCTTGCACTTTGTCGCATGTCCAACGCGCTGAAACAAAACTTCCGAGACCGAGGATACTCACAACTTTCCTTGGCCGGTTCAATCACAAAGTACAAACACACACGAAGCTTCAGGTAGTTTCAGTCACCAGTGTTCCCCGAACACACACTTTTCCAAGACACTCGCCAGACTACGAAGCAGCTGCTGTCCGCGGTCTCCCAGAGTTGTGGTCAGCCGAGCGGGGTCGGCCGGTCTCGCTCCATGGCCGGGCGGGTCTGCACGGGGCAGCTGCGTTGTGGCCACTGGATACGCCTCACGGGTCTCTGATAGCCGTCGCGTGGTCGGCGCCGGCCATCACCAGCAGCCACGCCCGAAAGGCCACGATGCGGTTGGTTGAGCAGATAGCGAATTATCGGCTATCGGCGGTGCTGGAGTATGGAAATGAGCCGTGTGTGGTGTGGTATCGCTCAAACGGCTTTGTTAGTATGGAAATGAGCAGGCGGATGAGAGCTGTAATCACAGATCATCGATGGTGATGTGCTTGTTCTCACTACCGGTTCGGTGCCTGTCCTCAAAGCAAAGTGTAGCCGGTCTGTCCAAAGTCTGTCCAAAGTCTGTCTCGAACACAATACCGGCAGCGATGGCCAGGGACCTGACCTCTAGCTCTCAACGTTCCGAGTCTTCGCAGAGGTCACTGTCGAATGCGCGGGGCAGCACTTGTCCCCTCACTGCCATCGACAACGACCACAGTTTTCGCACAAAGCGGACAAAATCCTCGTACTATACGACTGTCCTCACAAACTACAGCCAAGTCCTCGTAAATCACCGTGATCAAGTCCTCTCACATTCACTGTAAACCACGAACTCCTCAGTTCTCACACCACCGGAAGAAATGTCCTCGTCCTCACAAACCTCGTACCACGTCCTCACAACCCACGGTTGAATCTTCACAAACTACTGAACTAAGTCCTCGCAAACGATGCTCAAATCGCTCTCACAGTCGCTTTTGAACTAATAAGTCCTCAGACTCTACGTTCAAGTGTCTTCACAAGCCACAGCTGAGTCCTCACAAGCCGCGGACCACGTCCTCACAAACCACGACCAAAATCCTCGCCCACCATGAACCTCGTCCTCGCCCGCCGTGAACCACGTCCTCGGGCACCGTGAACCACGTCCTCACGTCCTCGGCCGCCGTGAACCACGTCCTCGGCCACCGTGAACCACGTCGGTCGGCGGGCGACTGCCGCCTTCAGGGCCGTCCGTCTCACGGTGCTGGTGCGCGCAGGGGGCGGAACGGGGCTGTCGCGCCGCCAGGGAGCGTGACCACCCGTGTGGGGACCGGCACGGCACGGTTGGCGAGGCACGAGCCAGTAGAATGGTGCGGTGAGTCACACTAGGACACCGGGATACAGGCATTCCTGTGTGTCGTGGTGTATGTACGTGATGAGGAGTGGGTGTGCGGCAGATATTCGTTTTTCAAAGCTGGCGGAAAATGGATGGATGTTGAAGTCGATGCGAACTACATGGCTGTCAATTATGCTGTCGACTGTTTGGGGTTATGATGAGCATAATATACAAAATCTTCATCGACTTTCAGTAAAACCGCGCCCCATTGCGGCTCCTGGATTTTCACGCTCTAGTGTAAGGGTGGCGTTCAACAATTCCACCTAAGTTGGCTCATTGGCCGCGTAGCGATCAGCGATACAATCGACATTCGAAATGTAAAAAGGAAAATAATTTGTTCGTTGTTTAGGGCACCTCAAAGGTCAGGTCACTAGAGGTCATTCAATACCACCTTTCGCGAACTTTGACACTTCTTTTACTTATCAATTCATTATTTGCAAAGCTAAGGGTGCTGCAGCGTCATGATAAAAAACATTGAAAAGGTTTTCACGTATATTTCACATATTTAAATACTATTTTCCAATATATAGGAAATTTAACCACAAATTTAATTTTATCTCAGGACAACGCTATGTCCTCAAAAGGATATACTTATTCGCCTTCGCTCCTGCAAGACAACTACTGGCAATGCAGGGAAGAACGCAAAGCATATCTGTGATTGCCACTTGTTTTACATCGCTATTGTAATGATTGTTTTGCTTATTTGCGCGACATTTTGAAGAAATTCACTTCGACTGCTCTTGATGATGCATTGACGAAGTTAAGCTCGCGCCAAGCACTACATGGGCGTAAGCAGTGCTTATTGCGCGTCCTTCATCCACCGTCTGATCGGAAAATTCCAGTTGGAGGGAGAGTAACTATAAAATCATTGTATCCAATTAGTCGGACACGGTCTATTCTACTCACTGACAACCGGTTGCGATCAATGGGTTCCAATGGTTTGTTGCGCCCACAAAGTGCAGACCAATGCCGTCAGTAGTCTTATATCGAGCTCCGGAGCGATTCGAGCCCCGACTCCCATCCCATCAACAACCAATCGATGCCGACACTGTGCTACGGGACGGATAAAATACCTGAGGTATTTAAATTTAATGAAGTAAAAATAAACCTAAGGTATTAAATAAGCCATAACTAACACATCGTTGTGATATATGTGGTAACATCATTCCGTGATCAATTTAACGGTTTACGCCTACATCAAACTTTTTATGGAATGAAATTTTTACCCGCCTATGTAAACGAAAGTTATCCACTTTAGAAATTTATACGGCTTTTGATAGTGACGACTGACGAGAAAAGAAAGGGCTTCTGATAGAAAACTACACTCTAACTCTGAGAGCTTTGTGTCGCTGACAAAAATGACGCCAAAGTTCAGTCTAGAAGATTGCGTGCAGTCTTGTAACGATAATGTAAAAAATGACTCTCGGATATGCTTCTGGCTAGTAACTCGTGTGCTGTTTGCAAAAAAAAGAAGAAATAATTATGTCACCAATTATAAATTCTAACCAGTTATGTCTCGTCAAACGACACAGTGCAAGGTAAAATTTGACTCGATAATTTCAGAGGGGCGGCAGGGAAATCGTCGCGACTTACTGCAATGCGTTTTATAAATGTCCCAATATATAGCAGGATTTAGCGAAAGGTTTCGATATTTGGTATTCCATAATCCATTTCTAGACTCTACTGATCAAGTAATTAGTAAATACCGAATTATGTCCCATCCATTGCAGGCCACCACTTAGTCGAACGAGCAGTCCCGCCAACCATGCAAATTAGGTGACAAATCCGTACCCACGACAGATACGCTTCATTTGCGTAATAAGCGCCTACGCTTTCTATTCCATTCAACTGGTGATCAATGGAAAGAGGAAACTACTATCCTGTCATCAGTCATTTCCGCGTATCTTTGTGTGACCTTTTGCATATCGTTTGTGCCGTCATTTTGTATTATTCCATTCGCACAGCAAATTTCAGTCCTTTGGATAATAAAGGCTGATAATTTTTCGGCAATCATAAAATCAAATAGGTCCCACAGATGTATGTACGACTATTACGAGTAAGATTTTCTGGATACTGAAAGCCGAACGACGAACGTCTCTTTCGTTACTGCCGAAAGAGACTGAAAGCGGGATGAACGTATTTGAACATGTTCTCGCATACGATTTCCTGATTGCTAGAAGAGTCTGCTTCATCCAGAATTTGTGTTCAGGTACTCACCGACTGGCTCTCGGCCACGAAGCGCTCCAGCATGTCGGTCAGAGTGCTGGCCTTGGACGTGTGGAAGGCCTGACGAGCCCCGTTCTTCAGCACAAGCTGGACGGAGGAGCCCCGGTGTTCGGTGACAGAGCCGATCTCGTCGAATCTGTCACAAAAGGTGATCACTGGTCAGTAAGAGATCATGTGATTTCAAGCATGCTGATTCGATCATTCGTCAAAAGGTATACCTTTCGTATACCTTTTCGAAAGGTGACTTTTGCTACCAAGATGGCACCTAATGAGATTTCATGGACGCAGTCCATGATAGGTCTCGATAAAAATCGAGATTCATCACAATTTTACAACTGACCTGGAAAAATCATTCATTCACAGCATTTACTTTGGAATTCTACAAATCAAGAAAGATCATCAAATAAAAAGCCATGAAAACATCGGTGTAAATTTATAGCCTATGAAGTTTTTCGGCATATGAACCCCATGGCCCATAAACCAACCAGCAATGTCTTATTTATTAAATACTTACGGGACGTGATCGATGACCTTGAGGAAGTCGTTGGGTACCGCCTTCTCCCGTCGCAGCAGTCGAACTCCGGAGTGAGAAACTCCCAGGAACTGGACCAGAGGGTTGTTACGACCTCCCTGGTGGTCATAGAGGGGACAGAAGTTAGTAATGGTTGGAAGTGGGGACAGTGCAGTAGCACTGTGCGGATTTCCGTTTTGCTGCTATGGCTACAAACACGTTGTCGTAAAGACGTTTCAAAACGCGTGTGAAAGGATGACTTTATTACGCAATATGCGCCACTCAATGCACAAAATAAAGCAAATAGTATGCTGAGTGGTATATTTGATAAGATTTAAGCATCAATCAAGCAGTTGCAATATTTGTACACAAATTAGCCTTGAATGTAAGCCATTAATTACAGAAAAGAATCAATATTGGCATTGCCATTAGCTGTAACTCAACACATTTGGTACAAGACTTTGTAGACAATAAAGCGGCACATTCACGAGAAATATCCGTCTCGATATTCCACAAAACACATTACTTACCGAGACGGGGAAAAGCATGCAGAAGTATGTTGGCCACTGCCTGGCCAGCTCCAAGACCTGCCGCTTCACCGACAGCTTCAGCTGGGTGGCCTGCATGTTGGCAGAGGTGACGCCCAGATCGTCCAGTTTCTGTCGAACGAAGGGATCAGAATCAGCTATGTTCGAATTGAAAAACATGACATAGAGGGGTAGGAGCAAGGTGACTGAGAAGTTAAAAAAATACGTAAGAAACGGCTGCAACTTTGAATGCCTAGTTACTTACTACCGTGCGTACTGCGCATCAATTTGTCAGACTGAAGTTCGACTACGCTACCCTACTAAAACTTAAACAGTTAAACAGCTGTATTATCAGATAGTATCTTTTTACAAAAACTAGCAAACTGCGTCAGTTTGGCCTGCCATCAGACTAAAGCCATCCATCCCAAGATTCATCCCAAAACATAATTAAGCCATGTAACCAAACTATATAGTCATTTAGCCCTTGCAGCCATTACATCATTAGGCTAGACAGGCTATGTAGCCTTTTTAGCCATTCTATCGCTCACCTGTTTCGCCTCGGCCCTCTCGGCGTGACTGATTCGGATACAGGCCGGGTTGAAGACATCCTGTACGATCTGACAGAACACCAGGTGCAGGGCCGTGGCGTTGGTGACGTCTTCCGTAGGCGAGAACACCTATGGGAGAGCGCATCAGTCATTCATTCTACCAATGCTGGGGGGGGGGGTAGCAAGGTTTAGCTGATTTATTGCAGAGATTGGATATGACAATTTTGATTTTAGTTGCAACATTTTAGACAAAGAACGGTATGCTGGCCCACTAAACATTTTTAAACGATCTAAAAACGTCAGCGAAAAGAAAAACAGCGACGAAGTGGGTCAGATATTGTGAGTGCAACGTTTTTATTTGTGTTACTTTAGCCCGTCATTGGGCGCCTTTTCCTGTCAATAAGATACAAAAAGTGATGGTGTGTTGACTGTTGGATGCCATTTACGAGCCTCATGTCTCTCTCCTAGCCTTTTCGTAAAACACAACAAGTCAAAGTCTGGCTCTCACCTCCTTCCGCACGTCCAGCTTCCAGCTGACCCGGTTGTAGGTGACGAACGGCGCGTCACTGGGTGGGAACAGACGTGTTTTGGCCGCCTCCAGGGTCCGAACCGACTCCAGATCTCTGCTGATGGCCAGCTGGCGGTAGGAGTCGACTGGCCGGAGGAAACCCTCCGATTCCTCCACTGCGGGGCAAAGACGACGGTGTGATTGATCGCTACGCACTCTCAAGCAAACACTGGAGTAGTGTAGTAATGGTTTGAAGAAAGAGGACTCGTAATCATGTTCCCTAGCTGGGATCAGAAATCAAACGCGAATTCTAACTTACGTTTCTATTCTTACAAAATGCAGTGGACCGATTGTACGTAGATTATTCGATATATTATAGTTACTTGAAGTTACGTTTTTACGCAATACGAGCTAGGAGTCTCTGCGAGCTGAAATGAAGCTTACGTAACGCCTCTGAACAGCTGGTCGTAAGGACATTTAAAACCAATAGCAGAAAAGGTCACAGGAAGGCACAGCCATGGCTGAACTGATACTAGTTATCTCATCCGGCACAGCTAAGTATATGTACTGCTTATTGAAACGGATTTAACAGCTTTCTATGAAAATAACTCATTTTTAGGTGGACATGCCGATGATCTCAAGCCGATGATGATGCCGATGATATAGGATCTCTTCTACTTTTCCCCACTCACGCTCATATTTTTCCGTTTTTTCGGTGACGTGCGTTGTCTCTGATGCGTTGCTCCGTCGATCTGGCTCGATTCGGCTGGGTCTCTGGTGACGGCGGTCACCGCGGATCGGCTGGATCGGCCGCGGCGGCGAGCGGCGGTCCGCGATCACCGGAGAGCTTGACAACATAAAAACAGCATGTTAAAGACTATAAACTTCTAGGCACCTATCTGATATGGGCACGAGTACGGATGGCCAGAAAAATTCCCAATTTATGCTGTACGAGTACAAGAGATCAGATTATGCCCGAGCTATGCCTACAATACCGTGTGATCTTTACCATAGAAATTTCTTCTAACTCCCTAACGGCGAGAAGAAAAGATAAAAAGCAACAGCAAGTCAGCAAGTATGAAACTTTTCTGACGAGAGACTATTGAATCAAACATATGGTTTGTAAAATAACTGCAAATAAATGTCGTGTACCATTACACGAAGAATTTAGACAGAAAAAAATACGTTTAAGCTTAGAAGCTGTGAGAGCCCTGACCCTGACAAAAACATATGCTTGTCTACTCCTACACGGTCTGTGACATCCTAATTGACCCCACTGACCTCTCTGACGAGCTGCTGTCTCCCGCTGAAGCAGTCCGGTGTGGTGGTATGGTGACCTGTAGAGGACCGATGGGTGGCGGCGGAGGCGGTACCCCTGGCCGAGATGAGCGGTCTTCGGCAGCCCGAGGCGACTGAGGGAAACAAAGAAACGGCACACGTTAGATGGCCATCGCACAAGTCAAACTGTCGCACAATTCAGCAATTGTCGGTTTACCATCAATCTGTAACCACCAATGCAGTTTTATACGCGCATGGGTAAATAGGTATTCATGCATCCGTACATTCATAAAGACATAACAACTCGATCAGTAAGATGCCCGATATACAGACAATGGGTATTCAAACGGATAAAATAAAAACAGTGATGACTACGAAAGGTCACACGACAGGACAAGAGTTGAACAGTGTGGATATACAGACGGGAAAACGGTTCAAGCGATGAGCTAACACCGTAAAATAAAATAAAAATGCCGACAAGTGTGAGAAAAAGTTCATCGGCTGATCAAAATCCGATAGGATCTTTCTACATCAGCTATCAACCATAAAAAAATCGAGGTTATGGCATCGTTTCGATGGGGTGGCATTGAAGTTACATAAGTTACATAAGTCAATTCAAACAAAATATAAAAGATATGAGTATCCAAGTGCTCTGACAGTAAATCCGTGTGTAAATCCGTGTTGACAAAAACTAAATAAAAATGTCCGTCAAAGTCGACGTCAATATCAGGGCCATGGGACCCTGAGACGTCTGAAGGCGGTCTTATCTTAGACAGGTGGTATTCTCCCGTGGAAACTACCCAGATGTTACGCGGCAAAACCTGTGACCGGAAAATTCGGGACACACCCACACAACATAGCCGTTGGCTGCAACTGTAACATTATTGGTGAGCAATAACAATTCTCAATTAAAATCTCACATCCGTTGTTTGTAAAGAACGCATGACTATTATCAATCGTCGAAAATGTAGACACTAACAAGTAACCAGAGTCTCTAGGTAGTAACAAGGTAACTGACGTCATCAAACCTTCAGTGGGGCCATGAGCGCCCGCGCCCTTGGTACGACTCTTATCTGGTCCGACTGCCGCGCGGCCGGGCGCACCGCCTCGCTCTCACTCCTGCCTTTACCTTCGTCCGCCTCACAGCGCGCCCATGGCTCCGCTCGTGCTAGCTTTGGCTCTGCTAGCGTCAGCACACGCCAACGAGGTATGTTACGACGACCTGGGATGCTTTGACGATCTAGGAGTCTGGGCCGGGCGCGGTCTACCAGAAGCACCCATCGAACTCGCCACCCGCTTCCTGCTTTACACTCGCAATGCCAACTACGAGTATGAGATCATGTACGACAAGGAAGCTATGCTCGGCTACTCCGACTTCGATGCCTCCAGGGCGCGAACGATCGTCCTCATCCATGGTTTCGCAGACAGCTGTGACGAAGCTTGGCCTCTGGAAATGATGCAAGCACTTCTTGCCGAAGAAGACGCAAACGTAATGTGCATTGACTGGAACTTTGGAAGCGACGTCTACGAGAAAGCTCGCGACAACTCTCGCCTTCTCGCTGCTGAAGCTGAACGCATGTTCAACTGGCTGGGTGCTCAAACCGGCCTTCTTCCATCTCAGCTCTACCTAATCGGGCATGATATTGGCGCTCATGCGGCTGCCTACATTTCCAACCGGCTTGGCGGAGTCCCCCGCATCACCGGCCTCGATCCGGCAGCGCTTGACTTCGAAGATGCGGACTCTCTGGTGCGTCTGGATACCATGGATGCGGAACTGGTGGACGTGATCCTTTCGAACGCAGCTGGGTATGACGCGTTTGGTCTGGGAACCACGGCTCTCACCGGTCATGTGAGCTTCTATCCGAACGGAGGAGTGCACCAGACAGGGTGTGAGGACACCATCCACAGGTGAGAGGGGATCTCGGGACATGGGAGGGGGTCGGGAGACGCAGGGTGCAGGATTTAAGAAGGGGTCGGGGGTCCAAAATTACCGTAGGGATAGCATCCTTTGGCAGTAAGTGCTGAACCATGAAATGTGTAGACATACTGTTAAACTGAGGGTGTAAGTGGTCAACAGTTGAACCGTGCCAAGGCCTACCGTAAGGGTTGTTTGATTATGATCTCTTCTATCTCTAGGTGCAGGGATAAAAAATGATTATCATTCATCGTGCGAAAGTGATTGACGCATAAGATATCAGAAGTCAAAAGCAACAACGTCGAATGAGTATCTGCATTCAGCATGTCAAGACTCCCTCCACCTTTGGGCATACTAAGTCTGTCGTCCCTGGCTGGTACAACATTTATCGTCTCCCCTTTCTTCCACAGCTACATCCGCCACTTGTCTGGCCTGCGCACCCTCAAGATCAGCCGCTCCGAGTGGTTGTCAGCCGCCTGCAGCCACTTCCGCTCCACCGCCTTCTTCACCGAGTCCATCAGCTCATCCTGTGGCTTCCTCGCCGTGCCTTGCTCCTCCTGGGACGCCCTCGTCTCCGGAACCTGCCCCTCCCGATGCCACAGCGGAGAATGTCGCAACATGGGTTTCCACGCTGACCGACACACGGCAAATTCGGGCTCTTTCTATCTATTCACGGAGCCGTCTTCGCCCTACTGTGAGGCATTTATGAGCTTGGAGGTTGTGATCGGGTATGGACAGGAGAGCACGGAGGGCAAACTAACGGCGAAGGTGCTGGGACCCGAGGCGCAGACGTTCACACTGCAGGACGGACCGTGAGTTGGAAAGGGGGAATGGTGGAATGGTTGAGTGGAATAATATTTGGAATGGTGTTATTTGTAAAGGTCAAAGGGAACTGAGATCTGCCAAGAGGATTAAACACGTCACTGAAAGTCAAATGTTACATTGAACCACATTCTGATACATTTTGCTTTAACTGCTCGCGCAGCCGTAATTATTTCTTTGAACTTTACTTTATAAATTTAAGAAAGACGCCGGACGACAATTTTAAAGTGGCGAGCCCAACATGAGCGTATAACTTACTACTTGATCGCTTAACAGCTTATTTTTAACAGTGTCAGCGATGGCTACGAATCCAGTGTGATAACCTAACAGACATAACCGTACCCAATCATGTCGCCGTTTTGTTTTAAACGTTCTCGTCTGCGCAGGATCGCCAAGTCGGACGTGTTCCACGATAGTTTCTCCGGCTCTGATCCCGGCTCTGGTGACCTGCTGGTGGAGCTAACCTACACGAGGGCGTCATCGACCATTTTCCACCACTACAGCACCTCGCTGGAAGTGAGCACCTCCTCGCTGCAGGTACCACACCGCAGCGTAATCTCAGTGCATTACTGATACTGCAGTATTGACAGTGCAGTACATTACTGACAGTGCATACAGTACTGACAGTGCATTATATTACTGACAGCGCAGTGTGGCACTAACAGAACAAAACATTACTGACCAAGCAGAACATCTTGAGCTGCTACAAACCAATTACATTCGTGTATCCAAACAAAAATATTTTCAACTGTGGATGAATGAAATTCAGGCCAAAATAGCTATCTACCAGTAAATTAGCCTTCGCAGAACTCTATCAACGTAGCTATCGGCCTTTACCATTGACCACAACCGCTATCTCTGCCATCATAGCTACGAATTTGCATTCCGCACTTCATTATGCCACCATAGCTGTTTGCAAACAAACAAATTTATCACCGTAGTGTATCTGCCACTTGCCAGCATCTGACTGACCCACGTCTCCTGCCCATGTCCTCAGCTGAACAACATCGAGGTGTCCGTCTCAGACGGTGACATGCAACTGAGGACCTACTGGATCGGATCCACCGTCCTGGAGACTGGTGTGCCAAAGACCGTCGTGGTGCCGCCCTTCTAAACGGCAAGACGGAGTCTTCTAAACGGCTCGACAGGGTCTTCTAGACAGCTCGACAGGTCTTCAAGACGGCTAGACGGGGTCTTCTAGAAAGTTCGACGGGTCTTCTAGACAGCTTGACAGTTCGACAGGGTCTTCTAGACAGCTCGACAGGGCCTTCTAAACAGCTCGACTGGGTCTTCTAAACATCCCTTCTACACTGCTTCACGGAGTCTTCTAAACATCCCTTCTGGACAGCTTGACGGGGTCCTCTAGCCTTCCTAGCTCGACGGGCTCCTCAGCGGGCTCCAGAACAAGCGCCGCCGGAAAAAGATCGGTGTAGGAGCACTATATGAGCGGGAGACGCATGGGGAACTTATGTTATATGCTTTAAATACGAGATAATGCCTAAATTTTGTCGAGTGTTTTTGTGGTTGTTAGAAGTGCTGCTACTTTCTACGGTAACAGGTTTTCAGGAATGCTGTCGAATGTGATGTCAGTAGGGAATAGCCGTGTTTTAAAAGCGAGTTGTCCACTTCCTCACACATTAACCCTCGCCCATGTAGGGGGGGGTTGGTGCAACCCCCCCCCTGAGGTTTTTCGGAAATAGTGCAAAAACGGCGGCGCGCAGCGCCGCCAAATTTTGGGTACCTTATGGGGCAAACCTTGCGCATCTTTTGATAAAAAAATTTGACCGGGTCATGTCAGGTCACGGAGTTATGACGTCACAAAGGGAACAGCCTCCGGCCGGATTTTCACAAACTGAGTGCCAACGCCCGAGGTTTCCTGCCGGTGGTACGGACATCGGTTGATGGATCGTGATGAAACTTCCCATGCATGTTGAGGCAAGTATTGGCTATCATATGGTATAAGAAACTTGACCGGGTCAGGTCAGGTCACGGAGCTATGACGTCACAAGAGGAACAGCGTCCGGTACTATTTTTGAAAAGCGCCCGAACCACTATTTTGCTAATTCTTGTCACCTCAATGGGAATATGCAGCAATATTAGCTTCTATAGGGAGCAAATGGACCTCCCAAATCCAAAAATACAATCAGATTTCAAAAATTTAAATTTTGATTTTTCGAATTTCTGCCGCCGACTGTGACCTTGCCGACTTCCGGCGTTCCCAACGCGCCATTTTTAGAGCTAGGGAAACGAAATACATACCAAACGATAGAGAATTGATCAAGGAACACGATAGTGAAGGTTTCAAGTCGATATCTCCCACCGTTTTGCCGCAATCGCCGCGGAAAGTAAAAAAAAATCTATTTTTCCGAAAATTTGACCGTTGACCGGTCAAAAGTAGGTCAAATGTTGACCTAGGACCAAAAAATATACCACCAATCGCGAGATCTCGGCGAGAGCAATCCGATGGTCTTTTCCGCTAAGCTCTACGACGCTCCGTTTTCAAACGCCAAGGGGGGGGTCGCACCAACCCCCCCCCCCCCTGCATGGGCGAAGGTGGCAGATCGCCGTTTACGGGCGAGGGTTAAGCACATCAGCCTCGTTTAATTAAAAACTGGTGAACGTCTGATTTGTCTCATTAATGCCTAACGCCGTCATAACCAGGGCCATAGATAACATGTTATCTATGCCATAACCAACGTTTCTCTAACGCAATGACGGTGGCAGCTCTGCCATGTCAGATGAGAACGATTGCATATTTTAGTTATCGTCCTTGATTGTATCGGAATCAAGGGCTATAACCTCAACGGATTTAAATCATTTACCCGCGCACCGACGGGGGGGGGCGGATATCCGCCCCCCCCCCCCTGAGGTTTTTCGCGGATAGCGGGAAAACCGCGGCGCGTAGCGCCGCGAAATTTGGTATGACTATTCTCTCATCAATTTTACACATGGTGTGCAAGTTTGAACCTCCTAACTTTTAAGGTCAGGTCACCAGGTCACTTTGAATGACCCAACCTCAAGTCACTTTTTTGCAACTTTGTCACCGTGCCAGAGCTACAGTAGATGTCGGAGGCCTTTGAAAGTCGCAGGATGTTATTAGGTCATTAGTGGCTACCATTTTTATATCTCGGAATTTTGATGTCGGTGACCTAAGGTCAGGTCAATTTCGCGACCTCCCCATTATAAGTCAATGGGGGAAAAATCGACTCCCTGTTTTTACCACTAAAACGGGTCGGAATGGCCCCATATACCATACATGACTTCACATACGATCAACCTTCACTACCTTGAGGTCTGTTTTGCTGTTGGGCAGCTGTAAGGTCATGTGACGTCATCAAAGGTCACCAAAGGTTTTTTGCCAATAACTCCTTACAGGAACAAGATACAGCCGCGCGGATGGTCTCATTGTGTTCAGCTCGTCAAGACGCATCGAATGATATACATGATGACCTCGAGGTCACGTGACCTGAGGTCAACCTTTGACCTTGACCTTTCGAGGTCAACATATATATCATTCGATGCGGATTGACGAGAGGATCACGATGATGCCCTTAGTTTGTTCCTATCTTGACTACTTCGAAAGTTATTCGAGAAAAACCCTCTCCATATCTAGCGCCGCCATTTTGACTTTTTCGACCCCTGTGACGTCATCTTTGACCTGACCTGAAAATGACCTTAGTAAAAATTGTAGACCTTGTCCGTGCGTATCCGATGCCGTTTACCGCTTGTCGCTATCTTGCTTCGTTCTCGAGATCTCAGGGGGGGGGGGCGGTCATCCGCCCCCCCCCCCCGTCGGTACTAAGTTGGCGCAGACCCCCGTCGGTGCGCGGGTTAAGAACGGAATTGCCATCAAATGCGAGAATCATGAGTCACGCATACACAGAGTCTTAGACAACAGTCTAAGACACGGAGTCTCAGTATACACAGACAAGAACACCCACCGTCACCTTCTCAGCTGGCTGCGCTGATCCAAGCTGCTGCTGAAGCAGTAGCCTTCTGGACATGTCCAGCTTCTTGGGCACCACCTTCTGGCGCCCTCCATCGGGCGTGTCCTTGGAGTCGGTGCTACCGTTAGTCCTGGGAACCGGGCACGGCGGAACAGGTGTTATTGATAAGGTGGTGGCGGTGTTATGAAATGAGGGAGTGGCAGGTATCGACGGAGAGTCGCCAGCCGCCGGGGCGGAAATCACTCAGAGAAACTCAATTTAAAAATAAAACACCTGACGATAGTGATACACTAAAATGAAAACTTTTGTTTTGCAGCTTTGGTCGTCATCTTATAGATTCATCGGTATATAATTGCAATAATAACAATGAAGTAAATATTTATAAGTTTGACAATCTCGCCTGTCTGTTTTCACTAAGCCGTATGATTGGCTCGCCATTTACCATTCTCCTCTTTATTCCTCAATTCGTTTTGCATAAGTATGCACTTTGACAGGTCCTGCATGACATTTGCAAGCCTCTATTTTCCTTTGGTAGTTCTTTTTACGGTAGTGACTATCTTTTGTATTGACAAGTTGTGTAAGAAGTTCGTCTCTAATGCGTCTGTTGAGCTTACCGTTCGGTGTGTTTGGATGTGACGGCTTCCAGTTTCATTTTGAGTGCCGACGATATCTTCAGTTTGCTAATTGAGTTAGGAGCCGACGAGGAAAGTTTCACAGCAGCCTCAGACTTTTCTTTTGGCTGCTTGTTCAGCTCGCGGTCAACTGAAAAAATCCAACTTATTGCTTAGACTTCATGTAAAATATGATTGTGCCAAATCAGTTCTACCTCGCTAAGCGGCCTTCTGAGAACAAGACAATAATTGGCAGAAATGAGAAACAAAGAAAAAAATCATAGCATCAATCGAAATCAAAACGATATCGGAATAAAAACACATGCTGAAAATCAAATAAAAAAACTTATTTAAGTCCTTGCCTTCCCCAAATAGTTATCAAAATTACAAAGCATTGACGATTACCTCGTTCATTCCCATCTACAATCTACATACATACCTGACTTGGCCGATTCGCGTGACTTATTGAGATTTTCAGGCGTCGAGGGCGCCCGGGCGGCGTCCGAGGTCTCCATCTCAAACTCGTCCCACTCAACTCCCTCGAAACTCGTATCGGTGGCTGGGCGGCTGCCCGACTGTCAGAAACATGAGAGACATCAGTGCTAAGAAATGCAATATTTATCTAAGAAATGCATAAGCCGTAGTGGCATACTGCAGAGGAAAAAGGGGGAAATGTTTTTTTATGGACCAGAAATGCTTGCATGCGTCCGCAATCCGTAACTTTGCAGATTTAAAGTTCAAATGAAAACAGAAAATAGACAGAAAAGCAAGTTGAATACCTATAGCTACTCATTCGCAGCCAGTGTGCAGAGCATTCCGTGCAGAAAAAGTGAAGTGCATTTAGTTATGTAACAAAAAAACGGCACAAGTCAGCCAAAGATCGGTCATCGGAGCAGCATCACTTCTCTTGCAAACACGCTTTTATCATGTGGATGCACTGCAAGTCACCATGCTGAAGACGACGGCAAAATATTCTGACATAAAGTTAAGTAAAAAAAGAAGAAATGTTGGAGCATCACCCTCACGATGATAATTGATAGTCTAGACTTTGGTCAACTGGTCTTAAATCGAGCTACGAATTAAAAACACAGGAGCATGCAACGTTATACCATCACCGCAAGTAGCCTTTTTTGTGTTAATACACACCAGTATAGCGCCTTTTGGGGCGACTAACGGAGCGAGCGAGGGGGTGAGTCTTGCACGTGCGAAATTTCGAGGGGGTACCTCCAACTGACTTGTGCACGGCACCCTACTGACTGGTCTCTAGCGATGTGCCAAATTTGGGCACAATCGGCCCAGCCGTTCTCGAGATCTGGAAGCGGCACCCTGCACGTGCGCACGTGCAAAATGGGTCCCAACTGACTTGTGCACGGCACCCTAGTAACCGGTCCCTAACTGTGTACCAAATTTGAGCGCAATCGGTCGAGCCGTTCTCGAGATCTGGAAACGACCCCTGCACGTGCGCACGTGCAGCGGCACCCCAACTCTGGCACATGGATATGCAGTGCCTAGTGGGTGCCTACCTACATGCCAACTTTCAGCGCAATCGGCCAAGTAGTTACCGAGATATTGCAACAATTACAAAAGTGACACCTCTTCGTTTTGCACGTGGCACGTGCATAAGGGGTCACCCACATGCATCGGGAATAGTCCAATACTTGATAGAAGGAATGAAGCTACCCTACAAAAATTACCGCATGTAAATCGGTCAAGTGGTTGCTGAGATATAAGCCTCGCAAAAGCGTCCGCACGGCCGGCCGGCCGGCCGGCCGGCCGCTCATACTCAGAAATTTCCGTTATTCTACGTAAGACTCCGCTCGCTTCGCTCGCTCCGTAACAAATAATCCTACAAAATTGGTACAAATTGTAAAACCGGATAACCATATCAGTAATAAGCAACATAAGATTGTACGGTTACTGAACGAGGCCGGTGTAAATAAATTTTCAAGACCGAGGTCCTTACTGGATTTTTGAACGAGGCCGAAGGCCGAGTTCAAAAATCAGTAAGGACTGAGGTCTTGAAAATTTATCACCGGCCGAGTTTGGTATGTATTTTACTGTATGCCAACGAAAAATTTATTTTCTGGACTGAAGCTCTTAGCCGACTTAGGAACGAGACCATCCCAAAATGTTGGCTTAAGTGCATTCTGGTAATACATTTTTGACCGTGGTCAATTTGCTTACACCAGTTATTACCACACCCCTCTGGCTAATGTATTTGAATAGGCCAGGCATACAGTAAAATAAGCGACATGCCTGGGCGTTGCATGCTGAATCCGACGCGATAGAAGCACTTATTAGGGACAGTCTGATGAAAGAAAGAAGCAAGGGAAGAGAAAAGTGCCCTGATTGATTGACAGATAATAGGTAACACAAGTGTGTAGAACACTCGACTATGGAAAGCGACCTACGTCTGTTCGAAAGAAAATGTTCCAACGACTCTACATGTCTATTATACTGAAGTACCAGACTTCCAAATATAAACAAATAATGGCTAGGTAGTCCATCCGGTTCAACTAAGTAGTGAATGGTCTACAATCTATGTACATCGCGATTATCAAAATTAATGCCAGCAATATCAATCGAAAACAACAGCAAACGAAATTTACATTTTCAATGGCACAAAACTTCTCAAGCAAAGAGGAGCATATCAGCGAATCGAAATAACTTCTGTAGATAGAAAGATATGATAGTTCATAGTCGCTGCAAAGATCAATTCCTCACCTTCTGACCACTGCTCAGTTTCCTCTGCTGGGCCTGCAGTTTAAACTGCAGGAAGTCAGCGGCGGCACCAGCCTCGCCTTTGGGCGGTGGCCAGCGCCACTTGCCAATGCGGACGGTGCGTGCGCGCGTGTAGGAGGGATCCATGAAGGCAGCCATCTCCTCGGGGGTCATGGCCATGGGCGGCGCAGGAGGGATGCCCGACTGGCGAGACAGAGATGTGGGGACAGAATGGGTTAGTGGAGGAGGCTTTGGGGTCAAAGAGGTCAGTGAAGGGAAGCGGAATCATATAGGTTAGCCAATGGGCCATGGATCCCTCTCTAAGGTACAAGTAGATCCTGATAATCGTCTGAGAGGATGAATGGATGTCAGGAAACAATGATATGCCGATGTGTGCATGTGATATGCAGGCATGCGTGTATGGATTGACGAATGTGTGGATGTACCTAGTGGATGTATGGATGCATGGATGCATGCTTGTGTCTTAGCTGTGATGCATGAATGTATGTACGTCATGCGTAAGAGTGCTGTAGATTATCAGGTGATAGAATACGACAAGTATCTAGGAGATGATGTCAAGAGGCTTGGATTATGACCGGGAATTTGAAGGAATGGAGAAGCAGTTGCTGTCCCGGAATATTTACACATTAAACTCATTAAAAGCGAACGCTACCTATCCTGTGAGCGACGTTATAACACAACAAGCGTTAGTAGCGTACAAATCGAACCCGACAAACATGAATATGTAAAAGGCACATCCCGTCGATAAGCATAGCAGACAAACCAAATATTTGAAACGAGAGACGCGCCACGTTTCCTCGCCAATTAGCAGCAGCTAGAAGCTAACTGCACCATGAGCTTTCTAATGCCACGTTCGCCCACCTCGCTTGCCTGCCTTCCATTAATAAAGCCTAACCCCACGAGTTTTAACCGCCTCGGTCGACTCAAGCCCCATTCGCGAATTTCCGAAGCCTGAGCCGCTGCGGACACAACGATATTTTTCCAATCAAACACAACCATAGACCTCAATTAACCTAGTGATCTAAGATACAGCCTGTGAAAATGCCAAGTTAGTCCTAACTAAATCTATATCGAGAACCAGTTTTTCCTTTATCCGTTCTAGCAGCTCAGACTTCAGTAATACACGAGAGACATTGCCGTTTCCCGACACCGCCCTCGCTGTTCACTGTACCGGTCTCTCCTGAGAAGTGGTGCTCCGTTTTCGCTCGTTGTTGGCAGCTGTAGGGGAGGTCTCGCTGCCAGGCTCACGGGCTGCTCCGGCAGAGTCCGGACGGCGTCCCTGGGATGTTGGGGTGTCCTACGAGACAGTGAAATGGAAGCATTGTAAAAAAGATGACAGTAATGTCGGACAGATGACAGATGAAGATGACAGATGACAGCAGACAGCTTGTGAGGCCTCTTACTTCATGACCATTGTGAGAGGCAGTTAATTTCTGACGAACAGTGCCATGCGTATGAAATTAGGATTTCTGGCAAGACTCGAAGGCCCGAGCGACGCTTATACAAGGTGGCGCCGGTAAATAACCACAAATGTCAAACCTGTGTTACGAGGAAACTGTTTTGTGCAGAGCAATTATTTTTTGCATTCATGTTCCACGCTTTATGTAAATTGTTGTCCATAGCAAAAGGGAACGTTGCAGCTGAAGATGATAACGGAAGAAATGAAAAGGCACGCGGTCATTGTGGCGCTTCACGCCGGCAGCTAGGCATCCGAGGTCGCCAACTTCCTCAAGGTCGACAGAAGCCATGATAATAAAGTCGAGCGGAGCTTGGATGAGTCTGTGGGCGACGTCCCGTCTGTGGCAAAGCGGAAGAAACATCCCCGACGATCTGATGCCGTCAGAGACGACGATTTCATTGCCAAAGTCGAGAACGTCGTCGACGATGACCCGACGTCGACGTCACCGTCGATGACGGTGACGTCGTGAAGCCCTGGATCGACCGAGTGGCTGAGGAAGGCCCTATGTGTTACAACAGGACTCTGCACCCGCCCACAAGGCCAGGGTGACGCAGGAGTGGATGAGCGGCAACGTGCACAGCCACATCACGCCCGAGTTCTGGCCGCCAAACTCCCCGGACCTGAACCCGCTCGACTAAAACGTCTGGGGCGTGGTCGAGAGGGACACTAACAAACACCCACACAACAATATTGACTCTATGAAGTCAGCCATCAAGCAGATGATGGTCAAAATGGACAAGACCATGCTGACCAAGGCCTGAGCCCGGTTCAGGCCGCGCATCGAGGCCGTCATCGACGCGGAGGGGGATTCATCGAGTGAAGTGTGCTCGACAGGTCGCCATCAGTCACCCCAGTTCAAAGCTTTAATCCAAAGTACTGACTTTTGCCAAAAAATTAATATTTTGTGTGGAGCACATATTGTCTTCATTTATCGGCGCCACCCTGTAGTATGCCCACGTTGCCAATTAGACCAATCCGTAATTTCTACCTTCCATCTTTTCAAGAACAAGAACTGAGAGGGAACAACCACTAGACTTCGAACACCACACACGAGCTCCTTACCTGAGGAGCGGTGGAGGCCTGCAGCAGCTGCGCCAGCGCCTGGTTCTGACTGAACAACTGCTGCTGAATCTGCATGTTCTGCGCCAGGGCCGACTGCATGAACATGCGCTGGTAGGAGGCGAGTTGCTGCTGATCCGGCGGAGCGGATCCGTCGGGCGCCGGGACACCGGGCGTGCCGTATAGAGGCATGGTGGGCAGGCTAAAACCTGAGGGCAAAGATGGAGGCATAGAGTGAAGGATAGATAGACTTGGACAGGCTGCAGCGTCTAGTCCCATCAAGATTATGTTCCGCTGAATGTACACCGGGCATTCAAGCTGAAAATGATCAAAGCGTTATTGCTATGAGCCTCGATGGGAGTTGGGAAACGTGGCAGCCAAATGAACAATGGACGATAAAGTATGCGCCAATCTGCTTCAGAATGTCAAAAATCATTGCAAGAACCCTTAGTGGGTGTCTCTGTTTGTCTCTGACCGAGCGCCTCCGTCATGGTTGGTGGTGCTCCCGTCTAATTGCCTCTGAATACCGCTCTGCTCGTCTCTGACGAAATGTCTCAGATTATCGAGTATATCTTTTTATGTCTTCTGTTTGTCTCCTTACCTTGCATGCCATACATGGGCATTGGCACATACTGCACTTGTGCAGGGGACGTGGCCCCCTCTCGGCCGGCGCTGAGCGTCGGTGACGTCACACCTCTCTCGCCGAATGATTGGTTGAGCTCGGGTGACGTAGGGGGCCCGAACATGGGCCCTGCTGGTTGGGACGTGCAGTGTAAATGAGACAGTTGAGGTAGGAAGAAAACTACAAAAGATTCGCTGACTATCAGAAGCACAAGTTCGAAAATCGGTGCAAGATGAACCAAGCATGAAACTCTACCGGTGCAGAACACTAGCATATGAAATTGTGCGCAGGTGTGCAAAAGATTGATGTAACGCACAGTAATTGGCTAAAGAGCAAAAACACATGCATATTCATGTAGAATGTCAGAAATTTGAAAAATGCAGCAGCGAGAAACGTGTCTGTCAGAGGGCATAAGAAATAGACCGAAAAGGAACGTCCTAAGTAAATGTGCGATGTGAGTTTATGTAAAAGCAGTACAAACGATTGCTAGAGATGAAACTAACTACTGTGCGATCCGTACCAAATATTTTCCGTGTGCATGCGATGTCTATGGATTGACAACCTTGCGGAGAAAACTACAAGTTAGAATATTCTCCCTGGGAAATTACCTTGTGGTGAAAAGTAGGGCATTCCTCCTGGCATCATCATGGGCGGTGGGGACATCATGCCCGAGCCGGCGATGGGCTGGAACACGAACTGTCCCTGCTGCTGAGGGCTGGTGGCCGTGTTGTCTGGCTCCACGCCGCCTGAAACGGACACAGAACGAGTGATTGTTTTCATAGATGAAATGACTATTTTTGTTAAGACGATTAAATAGATGCATTAATTGAAATGATCAATAGCATGGGTGAGTTACAACATTTCAGCATAGAAAATAATATAGGTAAATATTGTGCTGAGCTATCGCCTATCGCATTTACATTTTACCTACAACAGCATGGTTAGATCTACGTGAATGGCGTTACCTAAGACACTGTACATGCGAAAGCTCTTTCCATATTTTAGGCTCTTTTCCGATCAACAATATTTACGCTATCCGTCAGTTGGTCTAATAATTACTCCTAACAGCCCGTCATTGGTTTAAACACGAGCTGTTATCCTTGCTAAAATGAATAGCTAGGTTGTTAAGACTCAATAATTTTTCACGCCATCACAAAACGGCAAGCAAATGAGCGTGCTGGTTACCTTTGATGGCACAGGCGAGTGCGACCGGCTCAGTCAGCGTGGCCAGACCGGGGCTGACAGGACCACAGGTATCCTCCAGATACTCCTCTACATTCTGCTGGGTCACCACGGCTCGGCGGCGAAGTGAGTCGCGGCGGCATCTGGCGAGTCGTGGCGAGAGTTAATTGGATAGATGGGGTGGAGCGAATTCAGTGGTGGCTATTGAGACAGTTTCTCACCAGAGGGGACGACCAGCATGATTGCGTCTAACATACCACATCAGAAAAGTAGGGGCAGACGGCAGTCGCTCAACGTCATTTGATGTGGTTTTATTCACGAATTATTGGAAAACTTTCACTACATATGTCGTGAATAAAAACAATAGCGATTAAATACGTTAAAATGTATGGAAATAGTGGTCAAGTACGTGCGTTGAGAATACAGCCCTAACATACCTACCATAAAGATTTACATAACAGACATGACAGACATAACATAACACCATAACAGACATGGTGTTCGGTTATGAGCTGCGAATGTGACTCACCTAAAGAAATCTACCGATAGATCAAGCTCTTCCATCTGTGACTCAGCATCACTTGCTGCTTCTTCAGCACCCTCATCAGCAGCCTCTTCCTCTGTTCTAGCCGAAGCGGCCGATTCCGTTGCCCTCCGACCTCCCCCTTTGATTGAGGCAGCCAGTGAACGCGCGTCCGAGAGCTCATCCAGGCTCCCCTCCAGAGCGGGGATGAATAGTGCGTCCACAAACTGATCCATGTCGCTCGCCTGAGACGGCACACGCACGCGGCGGACGTGTGAAGCTGTAACGGGAGAAAAAAATTAGAATGGTTACTTGTTCTGCTTCACAGTGGGCTTTTATCTACGACAGAGTTCAGGCTTTGTGGATTGATACTGATAACTCAAGCAATACATTTACCTACAAATTCATAAAGTAGCTTGCAAGAAGTGTTCGATAGCAAACGATTTATGGAACGGCGATGATCAGATACTGCGCTAATGTCCATAAGATTCATCAACGGAAGTGAAAAAGAGAAAAAAGAATCGCGGTAACAAAGCTACTCGGTCTTCAAAGTTCAAAGACTCATAACGAGAGCCCAGGAGACCTCCTCATTGCAAAAAGTTTTGACTACCTTTATTGAAAGCAAACCTTTCAACAGCACTAAATATGCAAAATAATCGAAATAATCACCTAGAGAGGGCGCCTCGCTGGTGTCTGACATCGCCGAGCTGCGCACTTGGTACTCTTTCTCCACGGTCAACCTGCTCTCGATGTAGGCTCGCGATGAGCTCTGCCCGCTTCGCTTCCCGGCGTTCTGGGACTTCACGTACCTGGGAGACGGGGAATGTGAGGTGACCGATGTTTTTGGTTGAACGAATGGGTGTTTCGCCATGGTCACTCTACGATGGAAAGCTTATGGAGATGGCATATTACGCTTACGGTTATCCGTGCAAACAGACTTTAGAAGGTGAAAAAAGAAAACAGGAGCCACATAAAGCCCATAAACCACACAAGCTAGTCCAAACAAAGTTAAGACTTGTATACTATCCTTTGATGAGCTGGGTTAGTTTAAATTTATGAAGTACGGGGTCAGTTAAGTAACCCAGAAAGCTCTTACATTATTGCATCAGCACCCACAGATGCCGATAGAAAAGTGACAAGACAACAAAAGTCTAGAAGAGAGATAGGATGACATTCTGGGCCACGTCAGAACTTCTCACGGGCCACTAGCGTCTACTACCAAGCTCAGTAGATACCTTGCAGCGCGGGGAGACGGACTGCCATCCAGGTCGTCCCCAAATGGCGGGAACTCTCCCTCGAAGGCATCGTCGATGGGGTCTCCAAACTCGTCCACCCTGACCGTCCACCAATAACGGAACGTTCAGAGCATGCACCAATCACCGAACGTTACAAATAAATGACAGGAAGACGATGAAGAAAGGCTAAAGAGGTGCTAGAATTTAGCGGGAAAATATGGACAAAAACTACGTCTATGTTAAGTCAAGCTAGATGAAAATTTGATTAACGTGCGTGCAGTCATCACTTTGGGAGAAAACCTGCTAGTGCTAAAAATAGACATCAGTCCCCACAGTTAGCTGCAGCGTGAATGGAAAAGAAAGTGGGGCAAACAAAAATAAAAGAAAGGTTCAACAAAGCATAAAGGGTGTGTTTGAAATTTTGGGACTGTAATCAGCCACATCCCAAGCACCCAAAACAGAAAAAGACGTACAAAACCAAGAAACCACTATAAGTGAACAGAACAAACAGAACTTAAAGAAAAAAGGCACGGCAAAACACATTTTTCTCAAACTCACAGGAAAATGAAAACTGCAGTTCAGTGTTGAGAAGGCAGTATTTGACAGACAAGGAAAGAAACAAAAACGGAAAGCCCGTCGTTCTAAAGTTTCCCGTCCTCACCTGTTGTACGCCTCGTGTTTCCTGTACCTGCTCTCTGCCGAGTGGCGTCTGTCCTTTTGTTTCTTCTCGAAATGCTCCTCGTGACGAACACCCCCGACCCGCTCCTCTGGTGGTACCGACCCCTGGGTGCCCTTGGGAACGAAATATCTGCGGACAGAGGAGCGATCAGTTGTCTGTCGGTAAACAATGCGCAGACACTAAAATCATAGAATGTGTCCACTTAGTCAGGAGTTTTGTCAACACGTGTGCCCAATGATCTCTCTCGTGCAAGCATAACATGAAGGTCAACCATGATAAATGAAATTAAACACGTTTTGCTTAAAGCGCGGATGAGACTCTCGCTCACTTGATTATCTGCAAAACCTTAGAAATGGTTATCCTGTAGGTTCAACTGTTCACGATTATTATGCCACATCAGGTGCTCGTCGCTTATTCTTGTGAATCAAAGCCAAGATAGATGGGCCCAACCTGTGCTACACTTTGTAACTGAGTTCGAAAACTATACGTGACACGTTAACGATCAGCAGAATTGTGCAAAATACCGCACAAAAGTGGGTAAATATTAGCCATCTGTCCGGAACCATTGGGTCTCACCTTTCGTTGAGCGCACTCTCGCTGAGCCCATGTTTGTTCCATCCGGCGGTCGGGTCCGATATGACGTCGGCGGAGTGATACCGCTCGTTCAGCCGAGACCCGGACAGACCCAGTTGGTGGGCGCGGGAGTGGGGCGCGCCGCGAGGACCTCGATCACCCTGTGAAAATGAAACATAGAGGTTAAATCAGTTGATCAAACATGAGTCGCGACCAATGGATGTCTCAAGAGGTCAAATCAGTAAGCTACGATGGACAGAAGTCGGATAAGTTCAGCAGTATATGGACAGACAGGTTAGATATGTTCGGTATATGTAAGATCTAACATGCATCCGTCAAGATGCAAAATAAGTTGGACTAGCAAACATGTTTCCCTGGTTGCTACTTGCTAGCCCTGTTTCACGACACGAATTCAACCGACGTTACCAAGAATTGGCGCTCGTTTTCAATGGAACCGTTAGCAAAATTGCCAATGTTGCTTACATTTCCAAAGAAACCGAGCGCTTATACATCTAGCATCGGTGGATAATGGCGTGCAGCAAATCAGTGTCCTAAAAGGCAGCAATAAGTAAGACATTGCAGTTGGTGAGGCAAGCGGTTAAGATGTAGGTCCAAACTCACGTCATCGAGCAGGTTGTCGAGGCTGCGGCTCTTGTTCCGTCCCCCAGTGACGTCATCCGTGTAGGGTCCGTCGTGAGCAGAGGTACGCCGCTGCTGTTCACGCAGCTGCTGACGGAGCGGCTGTCCCCACAGAGCACGACAAAAGTCAGTTGGAACAAACTATGACAAAATTAGCAATGACAAACCTCAGCAAGATCGGCTGTCCCGACAGAGCACGATACAGTCAGTAGAAATAAACTATATTATCATGTCTATTTTAGGTGAAACTAAGCAACTCTCGGTTTCTGGACCATGCGACTCGTCGGATTTTAGCGTTTCTCTTTTAGCGCATCTGGCGTGGTGCGAGTGCAAAAGTCACCCATGCGCAAAAATACAGTTTCATGCGTCAGTGTAGTTTGTTCGAGAGTTTCAATCAGCAATAATGATCAAGGAATAAATATTGCATAAGACATATTCATGTGACTTCAAGACTCAAAATAGCTTAAATAGCTTCCACGTCAAAGTAAAAATAAAGAAGAGCATTTCTTTATCATCGAAATTAAGGCACACGCATGGGACTTGGCAGAGTGGGGACATGGACCTATAGGTAAACCGGTGAATAAAAAAGATAGACATGCATTGAAAAGTAGACACCCGGACCTCATACATCATCGTCTGTGTACCTTAGCATAGAGCTGTCCGATACTGTTAATGGACTCTTTCCGATTGGCTGGTGGTGAGCTCTGGTGATCCATAGAAATCATCTGCTGAAGGACAGAGTGCATAAACAATCACATTCACGTGCTGTTTGGGGTGCTGAAAGAAGTCTCGATGAGTGAGGTGCTTTGCAAGCAAGAACATACTTTACTGGAGCCGTATTAACGTTAGTGGTTTTCGTAAAATCGGATGAGACAGAACACCAAGTCAGGCAAAACATGCGGTGAGAAAATAAGACAGTGGAAATCTCAAACATATTTTACTCGCATGACCGACGATTATGCATCAACGTTGACGTAAATACGGCCCCAAAAGTGAACATGCTTCTTTAGACATGTGTGCAACATGCAAAACGTGGTGCTTAGTGCATCATGATACCGATTTAGTGCACAGAACAAGTGCTTCCTTTGCTTACAAAGAAAATGTGTAAGAGTTCGACTAACAATAGGTGCTTAGCCTATGATGTATGATATTTTCGTATATCATGAAACATTTATCGTATTTCACACGATATGTTTTATATCAAATCGAGTGTCAGTGGTCATACTTATCAATTCTTATGTAGTTAAATACCAACTGACAAGTTATGTCGGCTGCACTAGATTGACCAACACATGTTACATCGGCTTGACCCCACGGCCAGTTGACCCCATCCCCACCTATCGTATGACCTCACCTTCCCCGATCCTGCACGCTCGCTGACCATGAACCCACTCCTGCCGGCCGGGAAGCCCGGTGGCAGTTCTGTCTCTCCGATCACATCCATCACATAATCCGCACCGCTCAGTTCGTATAGGTCCCCCTCGTCGGTCATTTGAGCGGTCCAACCGAATGTGCTGCCGATACCACGGTCTGGGGGCACGCAAAAGGTCAAAGGTCAAAGGTCATGGTTAAAATCAAGATGTAAAGGTCACGAGCAACGTCAAATGGTGAAAGAATCGGTTATCACTTATTTCATCAGTTGGAGCTAGTTTATCAGCTTGGCAGTAGTTTATCACTTTTATGACAAGAAGCTGTCGCAACAATTTAACTCAGCTTTACGAAAATTGCACATTTTACACGCATTGCGCCTTTACATATCATCTTACATCTAATGCACACATGGTATACGTGTCCACGAAATCAACAAAGTTCGATATTCATTAAACTAAACGGAAGCAAGAAAAGCGTTTCATTGCGTTTCAGATTCGACGAACTTTTATGACCATTTCCTCAAAAGAAAAATGATCAATTAAAACTCACTTTCCAGGACATAGGCGGCGAGCTCCTCGCCTGTAGTCCAGGAATCCACAGGAGCGAAACACGTGTGTCCGTCCGCACAGGAGACTTCCAGGGCCATCTGCTGCTTCTTACGGTTGCACCTGACGACAGTCGAACAGGTTATGATAAGAGGCGCGGGGAGCTGGCTCTTTTTATGATTTATCACAAGGCAACGGAATGTGTAAGATATGAATACTGATAATCTGCAATAGAGCAAAAGCTTACGTCTTGCAAAGGAATGTTTTGTTATGTTTTTAGCGAACAATGCCATTGCCAATCGACGGAAAGTAGCACTTTCCTTACAGTGGTCAGCGAGCTTGCTTTCTAGTCCAATACCAAAAGTTTTATCGGGTAAAACAGCTTGCAAGCTCTGATTACAGTGCTGGAAATGAGGCCGCTTTCTGGTCCCGGCGTTTTATTCTTCGGACGGGTTAATCCCGTCTAGCGTTTAGCATTTCGGGAGCCAGTCAGAGTCGCGGTTGTTTTCGCCGCTCGCCCCACTCGAGATGCAAAGTTAATAGTCACACGAAGCTTACTTAGGGCCAGCCAAAGTTTTGTAAAATCGATTAATTTCGAAGTCGTTTGTTCAGAGGCCCCAAATAAGCTTCGTGTGACTATCAACTTTGCATCTCGAGTGGGGCGAGCGGCGAAAACAACCACGACTCTGAGTGGGTCCCGAAAGGCTAAGCGCTAGACGGGGCTAACCCACCCGCAGAATAAAACGCCGGGACCAGAAAGCGGCCTCATTTCCAGCGCTGTCTGATTATCACTTAGTCCATTGGATATTGAGATCAGCTTGCAGCCACGATCAGTAGAAGTAGTAGAAGTAGAAGTAGACGTATAGGGCTTACCTCCACTCGAGTAGTGTGGGCGGGTAGACCCGACTCAGTCGGCCGTCAGGAGGTGAGCGCAGCAGCTTCTTCTGGCAGTCGGCGGCGTAACCGTTCTGACCGTGGTCTGACACGTACCTGTACGAATAAACAGTTAAGTTACTATCTGTCCTCACAAAGTAAAATCATCCAGAACCTAGTACATGAGATCTAATTGATGTAAACGCCCCATCCTTATCTGTATGTGCAAAGGTTCGTGCAGGCAGAACTAGAAACCAGTTCAGCTTGGCAGAACGTGAAAGCCACGCCTGATCTAAGCAGGCAAAAACATATGCAAACCGAAAAACAAATAACGCAGACACTTCAAAAGTCTCACAACATTCCACATGTTCGACTTTATAGACCCTACCATTGAGCTTCTAACTACAGGTTCACATGCACTTCTCTAAGTTCTGAACGCTTTTTTAGGTCTAAGCGGTCACTCACTTGAGCAGGTACTTGTAAAGGTTGTCACTGGGCGGGAATACTGACAGACAGTTGGACATGAGGAGCCAGCCTCGCTCCGCGTTGGCCTCATTGTCGTTCTTCCATGTCTGGTTGCAGAGCTGACAGAGGATCTCGTCACGCAGTTTCTCGTTGGTGAGACCCTGTAAGGAAACAGCGTGTCACGATCACGAGGCACGATCGTGAGGATCACGATTTAATTCATCAACGGAACGAGGCCTTATTATTTGCGTTGCTGCACTTTCCTATTCATAACGTTTATCCTCACTGACAAGAAAAGCCGAAAGCCGCGGATATCTGATAACAGATTGTGTTTAGAATGTGCAATGTAAATCACGCGCCAGAATCTGTAGCGTACATACCGGGTGGCCCAGAAAAAACGTTCCGAACTTTGGAGGCCTATACATATATCAAATTCGAGTGCAAATAACGAGACAAAATTTTCAGCAAGTTTGCGTCATTTCTTTGCGCATTGGTATGCTAAATTATAACACTATACCATCATTTTCAAGCTGGCAATCTTGAGATGAATTAAGCAAGACGTTTTTGCTTTTTTTGTCGATGTCAAACGATAGTGATGATTGGGTTAGACGCCCCATGTTATAAAAAAGAATAGAAAAATAGAGCATGTGAATGAAACCAACACGTATGTTCTTATTTTAAATATTTGTGTTCCACTTATGTGCCAAATATTCAAATACTGAGCCAAAATGGTGCTCATGGATGCCATTCGTTTTAACACCAAATCATGATTCGTGGCACGGTGCATGGATTACTGCTGATTACCCTCCTTTCAGTAGATCAAACAGTAAATCGACGGGATAAGGAAAACAAACTAAAACAGACTAGTTCCTGTGCCAGAAGACCACATAACATTTTATGAAAAACAACATTGCCAGCAGATGACAAAAAAGAAAACTTGTTGAAAAGCTACCTTTTCCCAGGAATGTCAGCCAGGAAAGCATTTGAGCCACAAGATGGTTAGAAAACTGGAAACTTCTTCCGATGCCACTGGCACAGAGCCATCGTGGTTGCCTGATGGAATGTGTCATCCTGAGACCCGAACCATCAATGAGACTAAGCTGCCAGTAGCAGCCATGGCTCTAGGCCGTGGTGCCGAGGGGTGAAAGTGACCTGTTCACTCACATTTTTGAGTAACATCGGAGCAAAAAAGTAATTTTTACATGACATGCTTGAAACACGAACCGTTTAAAAAGTAATTTACCGAACACCATGAAAATCACACCATTTACTGAAAATGTGTGCCGCATTAACTATTCGAAGTTTCAATGTTGTATCTTTATCACTTTCTGAGAAATATTGATTTAAAGTTGGGAACGTTTTTTCTGGGCCACCCGGTATGAACTAATACAATAGGAAGCCGGTCTCGAATCGGAGCAATCATACGACAGTTGCAATACATATCGTAGTCTCACATCGTAACTGTCGTATCAATAAGTATCCGTCTCTTATCGCATTCGTACAGGCCTCCTCACCCCTAACCGCCACCAGTTTCACCTTGTTGACGATGTAGTCCCCCAGCGCCTTCTCTCTAGCATCGTTGAGGCTGTTGTCGTTCATGAAGCGCAAAATCAGCTTGAACAGGGCCAGGGACTCCTGGTAGTCGGACTCCTTGGCTTTAGCCAGGAATGGAGTACGGATCGGCTCCCGCTTCATGCCCCAGAGGTGTGCCTGGTGAGGACAGAGAATATGAGCGTTACGGAAAGCAACATTAGCGGGCAGCTGGCAAACATGACACGACCTCATGTGGTTCGCTCATCCAGGGCTATTTACAAGAGACATAAAAGGCATGAAAAGGACACGTTTTATTACAGCGCCAAATGCCAAAGTACCTAACTGACAAGAATAAATTCCCACGATAAAATTAAATTCAAAGCATGAAAAATAAACTACTATTTCACAATAATGGACAATTAATTACTGGACATACAAAAAGCTGAAATGAAACACTATGCACTATAAGTAGGAGAAAGCGAAAATATTATAAGGAACTAAAAACCAAATATTTATTCTTCCATAAATAGACAGTAAAACTAAAAACCGTTTAAAATTCAAATATTTCTAAAATATCACCTTGAAGTAGATGTTGGTGAACTTTGTGAAGGCGTGGTAGTCGATGTCGTGCGGCAGGTTGAAGCGCTCCTCGGGCGGGTCCACCTGGGCTCCGATCTTCATCAGGTTGCGGTCCGTGTGGGCTGGGTGCCAGTCTGGGAGAAAAGCAACAAACATAAGTCAGCGGCCACTGGTGAGTGGTAGGTCACGACTCACAAGCGAATATGGTGGGCTAGATGTGGAGAGATACATGGGGAAGAAGATGGGGAAGAGAGAACATGAGAATATGGAAAGACACATGGGAGAGAGAAAGGAGAAAGAGGCAATCTAAAGTTCATGGAGCTCTGCTGAATGGGAAGGACTTAGGTGTAATCCGGTGTCAGTAACAACTCATTTTGACACCGACACTGGGACTTACATGGAAAATTGGCAAACTGACAGCCTGGGGATATAATCACGAACATTTCGGCAGCTAGCCAATATAGCTAGAACATGGCCCACCGACACAAGACCCCGCAAGCGCACCGAGAAACTAACAACAACAACAACAACAACAACAGAAACTAATATACCGACTGACACGCCTTCTGAAACAACTACCAACTCAAAGATGCTAAGTGTATCCACCCCACTTACCATCCAGCCGACTGAAGATGAACGCCAGGTCCGCAGGAATCTCCAGGTGGTTGACACCGGCCACCGCTCTCGAGACACCCCTCTCGTTGTCACGCCGTTCACCAGAGGTCTTGGCCCGCGCCCTGGCAGCCCGTTCGGCCAGCATGCGGCGCTTCATCTCACCCTAGGGGGTGGAAAAGGTCCACAGGGTCATAATTTCGGTCAGCATACCAAAAAGCCGCGGGAAACGAATCGGGAGCGTGTGATTGCACTTCTGTTTGTGTTGGCGAATGTCTTTTTTCTAGATGTACATAACGTGTTTCGGAATGGTGCTAGTATTTTTCTTGTTCAGCATTTCCGTTCGATTGTGTTTACTTCACGTTTGCGTTTTTACTATTGCGGCTATGTTCATGTTGTAAATAAGCTTGTACTTCTGCGTTTACAAGCTCGTGTGCGGATACGCACGTATGCTATTTTGGGCCTAAACTGAAGTGAGCGTACTTAGGTGTATGTTTACGCGTGCTTCAATTTTTCTCTTTGTAAAAGCTCATCTCATTACATACCTTCATCTCGCTGAAGCGTTTCTGTTGCCGCTTCATGCGGAAGTTGGCCTGGGCCTTGACCATGCCGTTTCGGACGGTGCGGTACCTCTTCCTGTCCCGGTACATGCGGTAGTAGCTCTGTACCTTGACGGCGGCCTGTTGGGTCCGGAGGTACCGCTTCTCCGCCTGGTACCGACGTACCTGTGGAGCACATATGGGCGTAACATAATTGCAATTATCTCTTCTCTCTTTGTGGACATTCTTGAGTAAACGGACAATGCTGACCTTTCACGTAAAAAGATATGCGTTCACAATAAACTTCTCGTATTCACCATGAACAACTAACAACAATGCAAACAAAACCAGATGTATACGGGTCTATAGTTCAATAGTTTAGAGAACCCGAGCCAAAAATAAAAAAAAATAACTAGCGTACCTTAAATTCCAATCTAACACCTACACTTAACGTAATCATGTATACGGACACAGGAACGAAATCGGATGTAATGGCGAGAAAAGGTACAGAACAGCCAGAAAAGCAATCGAAGTTTGCATGGTACACCAAACAAACTAAGCTGTAATCAACAAATCACACTCACGTTTCTCTGGATTTTGATGGCTGCCTCAGCCTCGACCCGCAGTCTGCGCCTCTCGAGCTGTTGTTCGAAGCTCTCCCGCAGGAAGACCTTGGAGGTGCCCAACTGGTACTCGGTCTGCCACTCGGGACTGCCCTCCAGGATCATCTGGCAGAGAACAAACACATTGCAAACATGAGAAACAAACACCCAAACACTTAACTGGATGGAAGGAAGGAGCTTAGTGCTTACGCGAGGCAGAAATGTTGGCAAATAGGAATATAACGTCAGATAAATTATATATTGCGCCTGTCATCATGCTCTAATCGATTATCTTAACCCTAAGGCCCTCTCTCTCTCACTCTCTCTCTCTCTCTCTCTCTCTCTCTCTCTCTCTCTCTCTCTCTCTCTCTCTCTCTCTCTCTCTCTCTCTCTCTCTCTCTCTCTCTCTCTCTCTCTCTCTCTCTCTCTCTCTCTCCTCACCTCTTTCCCTCTACCCATCTCCCTCCTCCCTCCCTCCCTCCCTATCTTTCTCTAGCTCTCTCCTACACTGTCCTTCCCTTCTTCTTCTTCTCCTCCCCTTTCCCTTCAGCAACACTGAAAGTCTGACCCGGTGGCACAGCCACATTCCCCCCATCTATTTTCTTCTTACCAGCATTTTCTACCCCTCTACAACAGCCCCTCTCCCCTCCTTCTCTCTTACCCTGGCCAGATCTCTCGCCGGTGCTCCTCTCGCCACTCTCTCCGGCAGGAGAGAGCGGTATCTCTCCGCGAACTGCGCGAACCTCATCCGCACTGGATACCCCATCTTCCTGATCCGGATTGTATCCAACATTCCCGTGTAGCGCAGCTGCTCCAGGACCACGGGCATGTCGAACTTCATCGGGGCCTTCTCACAGTTGGGCTTGATGCAGCGGATGAACCACGGGTTGCACCTGGAACGCAAGAGTTTGAGTTTGAGTTAGTGAGCAGGCGGTTGGGTCCATTTTACCGTGTTCTACCGTAAGCGTCTAAGGCATTAATGATATGTTGTTCTCCAAGAACAGCAAACGTAACCTTATCGAACGTAATCAAAACGAACCCTTATCGAGATGCTGCATAATACAGCATCTTGAGACACCTTACAAAGCACAGTATCGTCATGAATATTGAACAGACAAGCTCATTGTTCAATTGGTAATCAAAGACAAATACCAGTGAGACAGTGAATGTTTAGAAAAAGCGGCAGCAATATTCAAATAAACATTGTCTAAACTGAAGACGGTACCAAACAACAACAGTACTGGGGACATTGATCTAAGAAAAGAAACGTTCAGTTAACCCAAGAAACACGGGAATAAACTGTAAATAACTCACTTGCTCATCGAGTCTAGGAGCTGCTGGAGGCTCTCGTGGAACCTGGCCGCCACGGTCGGCGTCCTGGGCTTCATGGTGACGAACCTGCCGTTGGACTTGCTGCCGCTCTTCACGGCCTCGCTCTGGGCCCGGTGCTCGATGAACATCTCAGAGATCATCTGAAAAAGTAAATAAGACGATGTGACTGGGAAAATATGGCTAGCACGGTAACACTGAACAGTCATTCATAATAGAACTTGATGTGGTCAAATGCATTCAAACAAAAAGCAAACGTTTAGCGTGCTGAAATAAATGCAAATTTCAAACATAGAAAACCCAATTTTTGTACCTACCATTGATCGTTTTCTCTTTCAGCGCAAGACCGACCAGAAGTGAAGTAAACAAATAAGTCAAGCTAATAGTTCATCAAACACCTGCAGCTCCAGTCAAAAGCTCATAATCTATCTGACAGCCCAGTAAACTGTACGTCCAATATTCCAGTCCACAACCTTAACAGCAGCCCATACCTATAGCGAAAAGGAAAAGAGCCATAGCCCATTTAATATTTCATTCGAAATTCATCCAACATTTCATCCAGCACATCCACTGACCGGCACGTCACTGCTGATGAGCAGCTCCAGCACGTCGTTCCTTAGGATGTCGCGGTTCTTGTCGAGGAAGCCGTCCACGTTGTACCACACCTGGCCGGCGTAGTGGTGGATGCCGAACTCCATCGACGACATGCGGGGCCTGTAGGGCGAGGGATTATGAAACGTGAATATCATGGGCCGTGGTCAGGAGCAGCCGATATGCATATGCAATTATGACACACACCTTTATATTTAGTGTATGCGTGCCTCATTTTCGGTCGTTATTTCTCTAAGATATCAGCTTCTTAGCTTGAATATGACAGATATTAAACTTACAGCATATTCAACAATTAGTGACATGGATGGTACCTAGACCACAAGCCGCAAGGAGCATTTTTCTTGACAAAAAAAAAAAAACAGCACAACGGTCGTACTTTGACAAAAACTTCCACAATGTTAGCGTTAAAAACAGGTCTGAGTCAAACATATTCCTGACACTTATGAGCCACCCTCTGTTCAAATAAACGACCTACCCCAGCACACCTAAGCAAATACAAACACACAATCACACACCTGCTGTAGAGCTCATCGAGCGCGTGGTTGTAGTGGAGTTTCTCCAGCAGAGAGGCGTCGGTCGCCTTGGGGAAGTTACTCTCGTCATCGAGCAGGTGGAAGATCCCCACCGGCTTCTTGCTGATCAGGTGCAGCACCGGCCAGTTGTCCTGAAACAAGGGAGGGTGAGATTCAGGTTCTCGGATCTGGCTTGCATGGGCTATCAAGAGTAGGTACTGCGAGCAATCAAGGGACTACAAGGGACTTATTTTAGATAGGAGACATGACTTAGTTTACCACGTTTTAACAACATTTCATAAGTCATCACACAGGAGATACGAGTTTATATTCCAGTTGAAAATACACCTCATAGAATAAATAATAAATTCATAAAATAAAGTAAAATCATCAACTGCACAAAATTGAAATTGAACACATGACAAACAACATAGGTAAGTTGAAAATGTGCAAGATGCAGGCATTAGACGTGGGGTGCAAATCGGGAAACACTACTTGAATAACAAGAAAATATTTCGGTTAGGTATAACTTCACAAACGAAGACCGCGCGCTCACGGACCTGGAATGCTATGCTCTGCCACTCGATCTTCTCCTTGAGGTACTCCTGCTGCTCCAGCTTGAAGACGTGCTTGCTGAAGTGGAACTGAAGAGTCTCATTGGCGTAGTTGATGCACAGCTGCTCCAGACTGTTCTCCTGGATAGACGAAACGGAGAAACGAGAAAATGGAATAAGTGTTTGCTGTAGGGACCATCGTAGACTGAAGAAGACTTCAGTGTACCATCGTATACTGAAGAGCATCGTAGGCTCTTAGAAAATTTCATTTGTCATAAACCTCGATGTACCGAGGCATACAGAAGTATATGCTTGTGTACAATATGATTGCGATCAAATTCGGTTTAACTACATATGGCACTTTTCAACCATATAAAACTTACAAAAAAAAGAAACAATTATGTGGCTTGCAAACACCCACAGAGCTAAGAACATCAGCCTGTTTTCGCAATTAAAGTTTGTCTCGAACATCGTCCCATAAAATCGCTGCGACAGAGATGCTATCATCACATCTCACCTTGAAATCCTCGAAGCCGAAGATGTCCAAGATGCTGATGCTCATCTTCCTGGCGCCCTTGAAGACGATCTGGTTGATCCTACGGACGAGCCAGCTGAAGAGGCTGCTGTAGAGAACCTTGGAGATGGCGTCCCGCGCGTCCAGCGCTTGGTCGATGTTCAGAGGGGTGACGACTCGCTCGTTGCGAGCCTCCTGGAAAATCATGAAGAAATCCCACATGCAAAATCTAAACAAGTACAAACCGATATTTTCAACAATTCATAACATCAAAGAGTCGCACTCTTTGATGTACGCGGACGATTTGAAACTGTTTCGATGTGTACGGTCAGAAGATGACAGCGTTCTTCTACAGAAAGATTTGAACCACGTATCGGATTGGGCAGAAACATGGAAATTGGCCCTGAATGCATCGAAGTGCAAAACCATGTCACTCACTCTAAAGCGAAATCCTGTGCAATATGTATACACAGTTAGAGGGACTGTCTTAGAAAAGCTGGACACGATGCGTGATCTCGGTGTTATGTTAGATAGTAAGCTAACTTTTACCCCACATGTCGACAGTGTTGTTTCCAAGGCCCGCCGTGCGTTAGGCGTTCTTATGCGATCATTTCAGCTGTGTCACAGACAGAACGGACTCCTGAATGAGAAGGCTATTATGGCCGCGTACACTGCCAACGTGCGCTCTATCTTAGAATATGGATCGCAGATATGGGCCGGAGCAGCGAGTACACACCTAGATAGAATAGAACGTGTCCAGCACAAGTTCCTTTTATGGTTAGCACATCGCACAGCGACCGGACGACAAGCGAGGGATTTGTCGTATGATGCGCTGTTGGACTTGCTTAAACTGCAGACGCTTGCATCTCGTCGACAGCAACATAACATTGTCTTTTTACATAACATTATCCAGGGTAGATGTGACTCGATGTATCTGTTGGGCCGTTTCTCTATTCGTGTACCATCCAGAAGCACTCGCTACCGTGCTGCTTTTTTCGAGCCTGTCGCCAGAGTGAATACTATTAAAAACGGCATGTTTTGTAGATTACCCAGACTCACCAATGTTTTTCTTGCACGCTGCCCTACCGTTGATATGTTCTGCGACGGCAAGGCGACGATTATCGCACGACTAGCCAAGTGCCAGACAAGTGACCATCTGTAATGTTGTGACGCATACTTATTTATTTATTGTTTGTGTTTTATCTACTCGACTTTGCCTATTATTGGGAATCTGTCCTGTTGGCAATAAACTGAATAAATACAAATACAAATACAAAATACAATTTTTTCATGAAGGAGAGGCGTGTCTAAAAACATTTCACCTACGATCATTCCGAACGAACCAATCTAGGATTTTTGTCTTCTCAGTTCCCGCTGTTTGGCAATAGTCATTGCAAATCGTCTCCGTGCACGGTGCAGGCATGAGAAGGCTAGGCGAGACCTCGTAGGTCAATGCTACGCGCAACTGCTTCATTCCAGCACCCGGAGGGCAAACACTAATTGTCTAGAAAAAAACATAGTAGAATTCTTAGCAGCATCTCAGCTCTGCTGAATACAATAGTAGGAACTAATACATCACCAACTTACCGTGGTTTTGGTCATGAGCGCTCGCCGCACCCAGTCGGTCTCGATGCCCAGCAGGTGTCCCAGCCAGCGCACCTCGGCGTCTGATCCGATCTCCACGCCCTCCTGGCCGTGCTTCAGCTGGGCGCGATGGAAGTAGATGTTGCCCAGGTGAAGTACTGGAGAAAGAAGTGGTTGTTAGATTGTAAATCAATCGATTTTGTAAATGTATTTGACGTGCTTGCCAGAACGTATGTCGGCCCTGTCGGTAGGTATCACATGGATGATATATCGAAGACGGTTGATCATAAAATACGTTGATTCGTACCACAATAAAGCAGGTAACTATTGTACCTACATATAAAAAACAGACTTTTAATCTCTTAAATTCAATTTGTTCTGTTCCCAATCAATTGCTAGCCAATAGCCATTCTTAAAAAATGAGTCAATGCGAACACAATGAGTATCGGGCATGCATTGAAACATCCATATTCCATGCTCAGCTTTGCGCTGTTTGCGAGTCAACGATCGTCTCCCATTCACATACCAGACGCGAGAATCTTGAAGATAGTGTCATTCTCCTCAGATGTGAAGCCGAGGACCTGCATGGCGGAGAGCAGTGCCTGGAAGTCTTCCTTGTCGTACTTGCCGTCAATCTCAACACTTCCACCCTGCGGGAATCGATCAAAAAGGATGTAAAGCATCGCTCCGCACAGATGTATTGATGCATGAATATATCGCAGAGTTGGAAGAAAAAAAAACAGAAAAATAGGCGGGGCAATTGTGACAATCGAGCATATTGAATTGCCTATAATTAATTACCTTAAACAGAAGTGAGGTCTTAAAACTGCTTGTTTTATGCGACAGGGAAGAAATAATCGTGGCAAACATTTTTTTTTTGCAAGCGAGAATCAATCCCTAATGCCATGTGGGGCCACTTATGCGTAATCCATTCACTAGAGTAATGAGCGCTCAAACCAAGCAGGTCTCCGTTAAAACCATGCATGCGGAAAATATCGTTCCTTGAAAGAAAGATATACGAAACATGACTATAGTAACTGACAGGCATGAGCAAGCTATCGCATGAAGTGTCGATAAAGCTTAGGTGACGCAAGTGACTACAGACAAATTTTGGTCCTTTGCAACGAAACATTGACCAGGGCCAATAAAACATTTGAAGATGCAGAAGTGTGCACATGAGAATATAAAGAAGACAATATTAAAGAGCATGTCACGCAAAAAGTATGTTCAAAATAAGTTATACCAAAAATATTGGTCGACGCACAAAAAGAAAACAAACCACTTTGCACTTAGACACACCCGAACAAGCGCACACCACCATGCACACGCACATTCACGCGCGCACACACGCTCACAAGCAAGCACACAAACAAAACCCATGCCTTACAATACAGAAAACAGTGACAGAGAAGAAAGAAAGTGGTACATGCCGTGCTCTGTCCTGCCTGGTTCAGGTAAAAGTACTGCTCGGCACTGAGCAGGCCGTATTTCTTGCGATCCTGTTCACTAAGACCGGCCAGCATCTCGTAGAAGACGTGATAGTTGCGCTCGTCCTGGGCGTGGGTGACGATGCGGGATTTCTCCAGGAGGTACTCGGTGGTGCGAGCGCCGGTGATGATACCACTGGAGAAAAACGGGTTGGGGTTAAAAAATATAAACATTCGCAAACCGTAGCTCACAAAACATTAAACAAAAAATAGATTATGAAACGAATCGTTTCGGGTGCCACTCAGACCAGCTTACATGTCACCCTGCCGACAACCTGTGGACGTCTACATGCATGCAACTAGACGGCCTTTTTAACTTGGCAGTGCATGAATGCACATTTGCAATCAGTTACAAGGAGATCTTCGTTTACTTTAATGTGTTTTGTCACTATCAGTATGGCATATGAAAGCTCGCATTAAAATGCAACAGTAAAAAAAAATGACTACCCTTCCTCCAAGAAATGTATGTAATTCTAACAACACCGTTCCTAAACCCCATGTGGAAACACTTACTCTTTGAAATAAACCTCCAGGTACTTCCCGAACCGTGACGAGTTGTCATTCCGCATCGTCTTGGCGTTGCCGAAACTCTCCAGCAGCGGCGTGGCCTCCAGGATCTGTTCAGTTATGAGGTTGGATGGCGACTTGTTCACGGCTGCCAGGTACTGCATGATCAGCTTGGTGGCTTCGGTTTTTCCTGCGCCGCTTTCGCCACTGATGATCACGGTTTGCTGCTCTCGCTCCTTGGTCATACGGCTGTAGGCTGATGAGGCGATGGCGAATATGTGCCTGGAGACAGAAAAGAAAATAAGTGAACGATTGTGTAGGGGTGATGATTCAACCGAGCTTATAAGCTCGGTTATATTCGGGAATCTGCTGAGGGAGTTTCAAGCTCAAGAACGCTCCATAAGCAAGCCACATGAGCAGTGAGCACTCCTGAGATCACGATTTGTGAGCATGCGGGATAACGACAGCAAAACCAAAAGGCACTTCTTTCCTTGCGTACTTTCAAATCCAAATGACAAAGTGACCTGACGTCAAAGGCTGGTTCAGTACCAGCAGTAGTCCTTGCTGTATAAGTGCTATGTTTAACTATGCAGCAGCGCTATTTCATAAATGGAAGGTCCGTTATCACTTACGGCGGCAGTGACCCGAGCAGCTGCGCCTCGTACCGCTTCACCATGTCGAGGCCGTAGATGTCGAACATGCGGTACGGGTTGACGGAGACCAGGATACTGCCTGTGTAGGTCTGAAAATATGCAAACACGGTTAGTAAATCGGTAAAGAGGACAAAACTGAGTTTGAAATGGGCTCTAACACTACCTATATGTGGGGTAACAAATAGCACATACATTAGGTAGTGACTAAGCCCATGAAATCAGCCTAATAGAAAATATAATTGTTAAAGCAGAAAGTGGTTGAGTGAAGTGGGTAAGCAAAAAATAATTACTTACGTATATGAGCTCTTTGTCGTAGCGGAGCTTCAAATTCCAGAGAATTGAGGCTTCGTTGAGGTCCCTGAAAACAAAAACGTAGTGAATGCGCTGTACCAAACGACATAAAAGACACCTAGCATGTTCCAACTGTATAAGTAATGCCCCACTTACCACCAATTTAAACTTTGCATGCATGATGAGGTAAATATCACCCTAATCATAAGAATTTACCTTTCATAAGATAACTGTTGATCTGCAAGACACTGATTTTAGAGTGGACATAATTATTAAAACTTCTGAGATAATCGAAATACACCACAGCGATAGCTTTAGGCCATAGCCATCCCCTTACCCGATCAAGATCATGTCGTCGACGCCATTCTGCCCGAGGTCTTGCCTCTTCCTCAGGTTGGCCAGATTTGTCAGTGTGTAAAGCTGAGGCTGAAAAGGTATTCACAACGGTTAATTACTTCTATCGCTCACAATACTCGTATTGCTCGGGTGTTATAAGTTTGCACTTCAAGCAAGATCCAGGTCAGATGTATGAAAGGCAGTGCAGCGCGGTCACATATTACGCACTGAATGGAACCGAGGGAACGTTCAGATCGGAGCGCTGTTCACTATTCAGTTCGTTCCTTTGCTCCTGATGTGCATTGGAATCGAAAACAAGGTCAAATACCGTAACGTCAGCACCACTGTGGGTCACCGATGCAATGCCTGCAGCTTTTGAGGGCTATTAATGATGACTGAGCCACCAGCCACACCCCCCCCCCCCATGCCTTCAAGTCCCTCTTGTCGATTCCCATTGACCAAGCGTTTTAGCAGCTGTAGGCAGCAACAGAGTAGCAGGGAAAGTAACCTTGCAGCAGGGCAGCCGGCGACATGAAGAGCTCTCAAACCATCCACCTGCTGCTGACCATTTCATTAAAGTCACTTATAGGCTTGTGTGGAATGTGGGCATGCTTTTGAGACCACTTTACGTGGGTTCTTTCTGCCATCGAGGGAAGGGGGTCACGAGGGTCCGGACCTCTTCCCCCCCCCCCCCCATAGTTTCACTTAGATCTTCCAAGCAGACCTACCAAGTTCACGACGTCTATCTTTACGTTCGACGGGTCTACCAATAGGTCCAAAAAGTCAATTCCAGCAAGCCTACCAACAAATTTACCAGTTGACGTTACAGGTCTACGGACAGGTCTACTAACAAACCTGACAGGTCTACCAGCAAGTCAGCTCTGCCAAAAGGTCTGCCAGTTCTACCAACACGCCTAAAAGGCCTACCAACAGGTCTAACAAGGGTCAACAGTTATACCGGCAGGTCTGCCAGCAGGTCGTCTATTACTGACCTCTCCATTGACGACCGCCTGCACGGTGACGACCTGACCGAGCCGGTGGTACTCCATGACCTCGCCGGGGAGGACGTAGCCGACCCCGGGGTCAAACCACACCAGGTCACCCTGGAAGACACGGGCAACAAAGGTCACAATACGGCACGACTGGGGTGAAAACACGCCAGGTCACCCTGTGAAACACACAGATACCAGAGGTAAAAACCACATCAGGTCACCCTACGGGCACACATAAATGAAGGTCATTAAACCCCGGGGTCAAACCACATCAGGTCACCCTGTGAAACACAGACATCAAAGGTAAAAACCACATCAGGTAACCTTGTTGGTACACAGATGCCTGAGGTCAAATTACAGTACTCACGGGGTCACAGTATACCAGATCACCCTGTAGGCACCAAAGATAAATATAAGACACCAAAGGAAAATATAGCACTATTTAGTAGACCACAAGCCAGGTCAGTCTGTACGCAGACACACAAACGAATGTTATATTACTGGGGTCAAACCCTACGGGCACCCTGAAGGCACACAGAGGCAAATACAGCTCACTACTTGGATTGAACTACACGCCTCAGGTCACACTGCTTAGCATACCTTTATGAAAACGATATGTGGGCCGCAGATTAACTTAAAGACGCAAGTAAGCACAACCCTTCCCCAAAACATAACAGTGACGACGATAGATTCGTTTACCTTTTTAGGTCACTAGTAAATTCCATCAATCAACACGGCGTCCGTAAAAATAGCCAAAAACCCGCTAGGAATGTTCGGAGAAGACTATAAAAACTTCACCCACGTGGGAGAAGACCATATAACCAAGCTAAAGCAGTGTATGCGCAAGGCAAGAATGCGCTAAGCCGAAAGCCTAACCAAAAAACGACCACTATGTTGTTATTGGCCGTGCGGCGCGCGAGGGTACGGATTGGGCACACATCGCTGTGGCGGTGCGGGACTGTCACTAATACGGCCTTGGGGTGAGATTATCGAGCGTGCAACATCAGCTGATAGAGGAGGGCATCTTAGACCCCGGGGAGGGACTGTGCAGCAAGGAATAGCTCGGTTTAGGATAGTATGGGGCGGTACGGCATAGGTTGGGATGGGATGGTATGAACTACGTGATGGTATGACACAAGCAAACAGATGCGAAACAATACGATACGACACACGATACGGCACACCAGAGCACGATACGATTGATTGGAAAGGGACATAATGGAACGCAACAGTGTACGACAAGCTACGAGTGCGACACAAAACCATGCGACACGAAATAGGATACGATACATTAAACTACGACACAACAGGATACGACACAACAGGATACGACACAGCAGAATACGACACAACAGGGTAGGACACAACAGGGTACGACACAGCAGGATATGACATAACGGGTGCGCGACAGATGAAGAAACAAAGTTTTACGACACAAAACGATACAGAAAGGCACAGCAAAATTGGTGGAGACAGATGCAGACAGGGTGGGGCGGGCTGTTACGGTACCCCGCGCTGTGCCATGTCACAATTTACCTTCCACGGGACAGCAGAGGATGATATGGTAGGTACTAGTTATTTTCTCTACATGGTACAATATCAAAGACACGACATAGCTTTGAACTACACATTACAGCTAGGACCGCTAAGTCTCGGGACAAGACGGTACAACACAGTAAGTCACGACATTGGATGCATGGCATCCGGTGCTCATATTTGAACATGTAAAACAAATCAATGCGGGAAAGCAAGCCACTCCCTATAGCGGGCTCCTACTCTGCCACTCCTCTTAGTGAGCGGCGTCTCTCTCTCTCTCTCTCTCTCTCTCTCTCTCTCTCTCTCTCTCTCTCTCTCTCTCTCTCTCTCTCTCTCTCTCTCTCTCTCTCTCTCTCGCTCTCGCTCTCGCTCTCGCTCTCGCTCTCGCTCTCGCTCTCGCTCTCGCTCTCGCTCTCGCTCTCGCTCTCGCTCTCGCTCTCGCTCTCGCTCTCGCTCTCGCTCTCGCTCTCGCTCTCGCTCTCGCTCTCGCTCTCGCTCTCGCTCTCGCTCTCGCTCTCGCTCTCGCTCTCGCTCTCGCTCTCGCTCTCTCTCTCTCTCTCTCTCTCTCTCTCTCTCTCTCTCTCTCTCTCTCTCTCTCTCTCTCTCTCTCTCCCTTCCTCCCTCCGTCCCTCCCTCTTTCTCTCCTCTATCTCTCTCCCACTCCCTCTCTCTTTCTCTCTCTCTCTCTCTCTCTCTCTCTCTCTCTCTCTCTCTCTCTCTCTCTCTCTCTCTCTCTCTCTCTCTCTCTCGCCTTCACCTCCACTAGGTGCGGTCGAGAGATGCCTTTCTCGCTCCCGCCAACTGTTGTATGTCCTCCTTATGGTGAGATAAGTCGGCCACAATCTCACGTGCGGCTTCCGGTGGCGCACTAAAGGAAAGGAAGTGACCGGAGAGGTATGGGTGCTGCCACACAGCGAAGCAAAAAGTTTTACACGTGGAACAAGCGCTGAGGCACTTCTCTGAGCAGGCGCTGGATGGCTTCTTGTGATGTAATGCAGTCACCACTGCCTGGTGTTACCGTCTTATGCACTAATGCAGTCTCCACTTCGGCTTGTGCGTGGACTGTGGACGGGATAGATATTTAGGAAGATCTCTTAGAAGATACACGAAACAAAAAATATGGCACGTAGATCAAGCGCTGTGGCTGGATCTTGCATCAGGCGCTAGATGTTTTCTTGTGATGTAATGCAGTCACCATCGTCGGATGTTAGCGTCCTATGCACTAATGCAGTCTCCACTAGCAGGGGTATTCCGAACGATGTTTTTTGTTGCTCACAGTTTATACCTATTGTTTTAGACTTATGTTATGAGCTCAAAGTGAAACCAGGTTTGCGTATACTGACATTAATCCCTCTGATGCCACACCTTAATGTTGTCTCATATCATGCTTGACTTTGCGTTTCAATTCTGGCATATACATAGTTACTTAAGCACAGCGGAAGTTTGGCTCATAATCATATCCAGCCACAGAAGCTTACACCCACACCAAGCGGTCGGCGGGTTCAAAGTTCATTTAGAGCCACTTTACCCAGGCTCATAAGCACACCACCGAGGTTCATAGCCACATCACAGAGGCTCATAAATACATCACAGTAGCTTATAGCTACATCACCGAGTCTAGACACAGTACAGAGGCTCACACCCACAGCACAGTGACCGGTGGACCGACAGCTGCACACTTAAACGACAATCTGACTCATGACTACCCATCTTTTAACGCCCGGGAGACTCAAAAACTTAACCTTCATGGCGGCTAGCGATGTTACTCCATACTCACCGCTTCGTATTCCATGTCTTCCTTTTTGGTGGTCCGGTCGGTTACTTTGGAGGTCCGGTCGGTAACTCAGCTACCTGGTTAACATCTGAAAGAGAGCAGAAATAGCTATTAACGAAAATAGCATAAAAAAGCTAGCAAAACACAAGTGGGCTGTAATTAATAGCTCGACTTGCATCAACGCTGCATATTTTCGCAGATGATTGTATTATAGTCTTCTAAAGAAGACTTACCGACTAAATAAATCGCGAAATGAAGTGTAAACCAAACGTCTTCGGCTCGGGTAATAGGTATCCCATGTGTATTGGTCAGAAGACTAAGGACCCCTCCCCTCCCTAAGCAAAATATAACTTATGGGTTGTTTCTGTTCTTTTTTTGTAACATCTTATTTGTCTCATTTGAGAGCCGCAAAGACGATCCCGAATTCACACTTACGCACGCCCCTTGAGCCACGCTGAGCTTCTGACAAGTTTCCGGGACCGAAACGCGATGACCGATAGAAAAACCTGTCTCACCGATCCGCCAGATCAACTCCCTTATCTTTAAACTGCCCAACCGGCCCCGCCAGTCCAGTCGTGGCTCAGTTGCCAGACGAGGGTTGCCAGACCGCGTCCGGTCTCGCTGGTCACAGTGGACCATCACCGCAGCTGAAGGAATGTGACCGCTTGCCGCGGCCGGCCAGCCGGCCGGCCGGTCGGCTAGCTGGCCCGACCTACACCTGACCCACTTCTCCGCTACCTAACGGCAGCGCGGGCACGGGCGACGCTAGCCGCTACTTGGACTAGGAAACGACCCTGAAAGGCAGAGCTCATGGGACGGGCAGCTTCTGACGGGTTTTTGTTGGATGTGACCTGATGTAACGATAGGGTTAAGTTGTTGGCCACTGAAGGAAGAGTAGAGTGTCGAGTGCTACTTGGGTTGTAGGAAGCAGGAAATGGTTTGGAAGATTATGACAAGCGCAATCTTCCCTGATGTAATCAATTTGATGTTGCAGTATTGTTAAGAAACATCACAAGGAAAGTCACGGTTGGTTCAGTTTGTCGACTGTTCGCGTGACCTTAACTACATACGGTCAATGGCCACCAAAATAGCGGTAGGTCAGCTCAAGAGGCGGCGCTAGAATTCAGCGGATCCCGGAAGCCAAGAAGGTTTCCGTTCATTCAAAGCTTTGTTCGGGCTTTCCTTGTCCGAATAACGTGAAGGTACCCACGACGAAATATATTAACTATGTCTCGGGGTTTCGATAAATGTTTCTGTATCCGTTGTGACCCTAAAAGGTCAATAATTAAAGGTGGTTTGCAATCAGAAATAATGATTCCGCTATGAGAGACTTTCTTCGAAATTCATCAGTTCCTGATTAACGATGAAATAAGTGCTATTTTTAGGAAACTTTGTCAAACCTCACAAATAAAGATACTTCATAAATAGCAGAGCGCTGGCATCAGTTAGCATTGCACGAGTTAATCTTGTGATTAGGCACAGCAAAATGCCCATTGAAAGTCAACATTCAACGGATGCAATACAATGCAGTCCGGTGGGAGTCCCGTCCTATCTATGTATGTATGTAGAGCCCGCTTATACATCATCCATTCAAAGCAACCAGCCCAATTCATAATGGGTTTGCCCAGCACATGGCGAACCCTGGTCAAAGGCATGCTTATGAGCAGATAACGTAAGCAACTTTATGAAGGAAAAAATGTAATACAATTGTCTTGGGTGGTGCCCGAATCGTCTCTGCAAAGTTACATTTCGTGATGTATGGCTTAACTTCGAACTTTCCAAAGTGAGCATGACCCTACCAGAAAAGCTGGTTGGATCAGCCTCTGTCAACTAACGGTACGCTTCCCACAGGCCCTGTGTTGAGCCCACTACTCCGGGGTAAATAATCAATATCCATTGCGTGACCCGCGTGTGACTAGTTAAATGCTGAAGTTGTGACGCTACACATGCAATTCAAGTGATGAAGCAAGCCGTGCATATCAAATCCGAAACTCCTTTTGTTCTTTTAAAAACCTATCCCAAATAACAGCTAATTTCCTGGGATAATTTAGTTGCTTATGCCTGGCACACAATCATTGTGACATGATAAATATGTCCTTGGTTTCTTCCTCTACAGATGCGAATACGTGTACCCCACACATCATATGACTTGATGTGAAGGACATTAGACACTGTACAGTCTTTTCCCATTAGCATATTCACACATATATTTAAATTCACACACCCATCCTCCCACCCCTCTCCTGAGTGCCTGCACCTGTCCAGACCCAGTGCTCCCAATCCCCAGACGTAGCCAGCAGCTTTCCCAACACGCCATTCACAGTCTGCGCGGGTGCCGGCTGATTCTCACGGGCGGGCGCCTACCGGGGCGGCGTCAGCGGACATTTTCTGTAGCGTGGGAGCTCATTGATGGGAGGCACCGGACGCCTCACGTTGGCTTGGCATACAGTAGGGAACGGGGTGATTTGAGTCGTACTTCCGGAAGTGACGTACTTTTGTTCCTATGCACTTCTTCTCTTACGTATATTTATCATACGTATTTGTATTCTAAGTGAATTTCCTGACGCATTTACTTGGACGTCGGTGGGGTGTTTTGTCCCCACATGCGAAATGTCCCACATACGACTGCTACACGTATGGATGTGCTTGTTTTCCTTTTATACCCGGCGTATATATGCTGACGTACATACATTTATCATGCGCACTTATGTGCTGCGTATATTTTCTGACGAAATTTGTCATTCGAACATCCGCAATGCGTACTTTTATCCGTTCCATGAAATTTCTACTGCGTTCGGTATTTCTTGATTTATGTATCCGATAACCAGCGAGGACAATCAATGGTTGAATGGTGAAGGTAAGGGCAGGAAGGGAGAGGCTCGGCAAGCTTTAAACATCGGGAGGAGAACACTCAGAACAGAAGGCACCGTTAACTCCGCAGTGAAAGTGCCGTGACTGAATCGGCTGAGTCACGCGAGATCTCGGCATTGGTCTGAGGTTGGGATTTGCGTTGTGTTCAACAATAAACTCGGCCAATGAAGCTGCGGTTTTTCTTTCCTTGGTCTGAATAGTGTTCTTTGTAGCTTTCTTTGTTCTTTGTTAGAAGATTTTAATGTAATATGTATCACTAATAATCAGACAACGATATTTCACTTCATTAAAAATTATCTGAACGGCAAACCGGAACATTTAAACGCTTATCATCGATTGATATCACTTTATTTGCATTTTAAATTGCAATGATACCGACCTAGATATTTGCCAAGGCATAAACACATCCAGAAGCATGTTGCTTGAACAATGAACAGTTCTCATTTCATTATTGGGTCACATATAGCCACCCATTGGCATTTTTAACATCGCCAATTACCTGGGATACATGAGGAAGCATATACATGCGTATTTCGAACGAATCTTCCATCTGTAATTTTCCTTTCTAGCAAAATGCAAAGCTCAACATTTGATCCATTTGTAAGACGCATTTAGCCTGCCCACGCATCCCCAGCTATAGTTTCAGTGTCCTAGTCGTATTACCCTCTTCCCATTCTCTGTAGACGATGAGATGTGAAAACAGTCCACACTTCACTCCAGAACACTGGCAACATTTGACAAAGTAGGCACCTACGGGCCCTTGACCTCCACACTGACACGCCCTGCCCCCCCCCCTCTCCCTCCCCACTACCACCAGTGCGTCGCTGCAATGCCAGAGTGGAATATGACACCAGAGATTCGTCGGCCGACAGGCGATGTCACACGAACGGCCGATGCCCTGACGGGTCGTCAAATGTGACACTCCGCCGTCGCAGTGACCTCCCCCCCCCCCCCCCCCGTCTCCGTCTCCCGTCAGTCTCGGGTAATCTGATACTGCACTCAGCCTGCGAGCTCCTCTCCCCATCCCGTCTTGCTTCTCCCCAGTCAGCCTCGAAGAAAAGTGGTGCCCGACACTGGCCGCAGTCGCAGGTCATGCATGCAGGAGCATTTGGACGCCGCCCGTTCCTTCATCTCATGTCAGTAGCCCTCCCCAATGAGGTCTGACCCATGCCTTCGGGAGACGGAGCCAGCCTTAGCCAGCTTTAGCCTCTAGACTTTAGAGGTAGACTTTGATTGAAAGGAGCTGAACTCAGAGGGATCTATGTAACTGGCGGACCCAGGCGGAGGCTTTGCGCAGCGCCCGAAATCGACGATAATTTGCTAGTTTGATATTTTTTCGAGAATAAAACGAAAACTTAATATGGCCTTTATTAGGAAAACCTTGTTTTTAACTACACGGCAATGCGTAGGATCGAAATCCGATGAGTCTTTGGAATTTGGAGACATTTTGGGGGGTATAACCCCCTCACCATCCAAGAAGACTGCCTTTTGATGTCAAGCGCTAAGAGGGACAAGAGGATCCCTCAGAAGGTCAGGGGCCCACGTCACGTGCTTGAGAGCTTCTCGGTAGCTGAGAAGGTCCCCACCACGTGTTCAGGGAGCTTTGCCACAATACCATGTCGTGCATCAATAGTGATGATGGGCGAGGGCCCTTCGGTGGCTTAAGAGGGCCATCGGTAGCTCAAGGGGCCCGCCACGTTGTCTAAACCTCTTCTTTGCTCTGAAGCCTTGAAAGATAATGACAAAAAAATAATAATGATAATAAAACGTCCAAAAGGGCAAAAAGCTAAGAATTCCTAAAAATTCGTTCGTTTTGCAAGATCCTGTTTGGAATGCGCTGCTGCCCCAGGCTATAAGCCTGCGGTTAGGCACCTGACTAACCCACCCTGGACCAATGAAGGCATGAGTCACCATGGCTTCCTCAGCCGTAAAATACCGCGCCAGACACCGCCAGACACGGCATAATAGCGAGATGGCGGCTGAGCTGTCTATCCAGAAACCGGGATGGCAGCTGCTGCAATCAGCTGCTGCGGTCAGCTGACCAGCTTATAGCTGTCACAAACTCCTGCTGGACAGCCGATAGCTGCTGAAGACAGCTGGGCAAGAAATGACAGTGGCCGAATGTTGCAGGGCAGACAGTAGTTGCAGACAGCTGGATTATGGATGGCACACAGCTGCCTAAGACAGATGGATAACTGGCCGATGAATAGCAACTGCAGACAGCTGCCACAGATTCCAGCCGGCCAGCCGACAGCTGCCGCAGACAGCTGATTCAGCCTCCGACAGAACCCGGCCGATGCTGCATGAGGGCCAAGGCCATGGGGGCCGGGAGGGCGTGGGCTTTACCCATGCCTCTTTATTCAGTTGATACTCTTTGGGAATGGAAGGTCTGGCAGGTGTGATTCAGTCCGCTTTGTTGATCTAGCAATGACTAATAAGTGCTTATTCACGTCATGGAAATGATGCATGCATACAATACAGTCAGCAACATGGCTTACCAACTAAAACGTCGGAAATTCCAGTTAACGTCGTGTCTTTTGAGCTCCACGTTACATCCACGCCGCCGTCAAGCCAATATGGAGTCTCCAACCAACCACAAAGATAAGAATTGCTTCGATCCACCTGCCGACTCAGGTAGGGAGGGGTGAGCGGGTGAGTGGGGACGTTGACCTGAGCTCACCCTGTCTCACAGCACCTGTTCGCATCACTCACCTCTGTTTGCACTCCAATGTGTGGCGTCCACTGTGTGATTTCACTGCGTGATTTCGCCGCTGCGTATCACACAACCTTCTCACACACTCACACACGGACAAGCCACGCCTCAATCACTGCTGCTCGCTCGCTGCGTTCGCTAGTTTCGCCGTGTGAGAAACCACGGCTCAGGCCTGCGGGTGACTGGTTGTGCTGCGGGCGGCGGCGGCGGCGGCGGCGGCAGCGGCGGCGGCCACTGGCATACCTGAGACGCAAACCGGGGGTTCTCAAACTGGCGGGGCGCGGTCGACGGGGCAGAGCGCTGGGAGGAGGAGGGAGAGAGGAGAGGAGTGGGAAGGCAGAGGAGTGGTGGATATTGACGTAAGAGCGAAATGGATGGTGAAGATAGCTAATACTAAATGCCTAGAACTTAAGGCAGTTTTTGGTTCGTGATTGTATTTGTTGCATAAACAAACTACCTACTGTCTATTCAGTCAGGTAATTAACCCGACTTCTCTCTCTCTCTCTCTCTTGTGTGGACGAATATAATATTTGCTCAATTCAAGTTCGATAAATTAAAAAAATTGGGAAGCATTAGTTTGGTTATTTTTACTGGTGTGCACTGCACAGTGAATGCAAAGTGAATAATAATTCAAACAGCTCTATCAAAATTTAACAAACGACTTTGCCAGATATATTTAATATCATATTTATGTGTATTGTGTCATATGCGACAATCACTTGGGATCAGCCGACTTGAAATAAAAAAATTATCGAATCGCTCTAACATAAAACTGTCAAAGCAAATAAGCGAATAAAGACGCACGGGCAAACGGAGAGCGGAATCTTGAGATCGATGTTACAAAACATTGAATCAGATAGCTAAATACCCAAAACAATTTAGCCGAGAGCATATAATGTTTCGGGACCCAACGGGAAATGTCAGGAAGTGTCCAGTTTTCATAAACGAATTTCGCCAATAAAAGGGACTCAAACTGCTTTATTAGGCAATTTATCTCAGCTATCCTATGCTACAACCGAGGCATTGAAATGATGAATGCGTAGAGAAGCTTATAGCTTAAGTGGAAGGGTGGAGAAGAGATTGGGGCTGATCCTCCCCTGCGGCTGGGATTAGGACGATAATCCCCCATTCACTACTGAATGGACATTGGACAGTAGACACACTGCTGACAAAAAGATCGCTTTCTACCCAGAAGCTTTATCCAATTCATCGGTAAAAAACAATGATCCCGAATCCCGAGACGATGTCATTTGTCAATTTGGGGAAGCGATTTTGCGGCAAATATTTATTTCAACCGACAGCAAATGCCAAATGGTGCTGGTCGAAGAATGTTGACAGACAGTTGATGACTGGCGACTCGTCAAAAACAGTTGAGTGCTGAACCAACGGCAGTCGGCAAGGGACTATCGGGAAGGAGCATGGCCGGGTTATTCTGGATGTCTGAGAGGTCACACATGACTTGACTGCCTACCCCTATTTCCCGAAGGAAATGTACGAAATTATTTGGCCACTTAATCCATAAATTATTTAAAGGTATCGTTTTGTCTAGATTAATCATTCGATTTTTACAGATACTACTATTCAATATTAATTATAGTTTATTGTTATAATTAACTATTTTGATCCAAATATAGCGGCATTATTATTATTATTTTTCTATGTTAGAATGATGTGATTATGAAATTATGAACCTCTGGAGAAAAAAAAAATGAAAAGTCAACTTGTCAGATACTCGCATATCGACTTCATTGCAACTTGAGGAATACGTCGTTTAATTTTTTGTTGGATTGAACTTATCTGACATTGACTACCTATCTATAATTGACGCATCATAATGTCATAAAATCAATTTACCTTTAACTACGCAAACATTATCCCTCCCAACAAGCAGGTAAGTAAAAGTTCTCCAGAGAGGGCGCGTTCTAAGTGACCAAGAGGCAAACATGTCACACGCCGAAACTCATCATCCCATTCATTCATTACGTATTCCGGGCCCATCCTTTTCTTCGGCAAACCAGTCTCGAAGCTGTTGGAGAAAGTCGGATGCGCGGGGCGCGTGCCACTTGGCTCCAGCGCTCCCCGCACGGCGCTGGAAGTTTGAGAGCCACCGCCCACCGCTACAGGTAAGAAGCGGTACAGTCTCGAACACTGCCGGCGCGTGGTGTACAGTCTCGGCGCCGCCGCTGTCACAGACGGCACTAATTAGTGATTAACTTGTGCCATAGTCTGGTGTCTTTTCAAATTGTGCATCTTTTTTGGCGGGGAGGGGAGGGGGGAAGTGGGTCTTCCAAAGATGCAGTTTTATGGACGCTATTGCTGACACAGCGAGTACGTTGAGGCCGAGCAGGATTTCACCAAATTTTAGATTTTAAAGGAAATCATGGGAGCTCGATTCCTTCGATGTACTTTAACAAGCAAAACAGAATGGTCTAAATTTGGGGGCCTTCATAAAAGGGATGTCAAGCAGCAGAGCTGGTCAAATAAGAAGCAGTCCAATGCCTAATCGTAATCATCCATTTGCGACTTTACTGCCACATTCATGATTTGTCATAAATCTAAATGTGATTTATCACAACTATGATTTATGTCACATTTATTACCTATCCCATTTATGGGAAGTATGACGGCGGTGGCCATTACATTTTCTAAATGAACGACCGTCGCCAAATAAAGTAAGAATAAGAAATTAAAGGGCGCAGAGTTTTGGATGCAATCGTTTTTATAAAATATCGGCCACCACCCCAGTTTACATGTTACATATTATTGAAGAAAAAATAAAAATCAACTCTCAGTTCCCGAGTGCACGAAACTAAACGCTTCCGTTGAACGTTTTGGTGGTAATTGCGATGGAAACAATCAGTTCGGCTGCTATTTTACCTTATAGGCATATAACGTGCCTTATTTTACGTGTTCAAATTAACATATTTTATTGCCGCATTTCTGTCATTGCCTGCTGACCGTTCCCCGTTTCGGGCTGCCACATAACCAGGAGCCGAGTAAGGAAACGTATTTACCTCAGCACGTCCCCTCCCAATTCCCACAGGCTGATGATCATTGGCTAAAATCTCCAAAATGCGTTATTTTTTGGTTCGCTAGTTCAGGTCCTGTGCTATTTGAGACCTGTTCCGGGGCCATGGAATAAGGAAGAGACATTGCTGACTCGACCACCTACTGAGCTCACCCCGACACGGCAGTTCAGTCCCTTTCGTTGGGACGGGAGTGTCCCGGCCTAGGACAGGTCACTCCGCCGTTCAAAAGGTCATCCCGGACTGGGTATGCTCCTATTGGAAAAATTTTACTGGTCGTCTGGTAGGGTTACCATAATCCCGATCGGGCAGTGTGATCCGAGAAATGAGAATCGGTTAGGCTGAGCCATGAGCATTAGACAGTGAAGATGTGTAGAGAGCACTGGCAAGACACGACTTATTATGATCTGTTGATATCATTTGATGGAATGGGTACAAAATGACTGAACCCATGGTAAAACAACTGAAACTACTACCGGCCATCTGAACTTCCAGGCTGAGCGGCGAGCTGTTTGTCGAGTGTCAACCTCAGCCTATGTATTGGTAAGTGCTCCATTTACGAGACACGTTGGTGCCATAGCGGTCCTCACGCAGCTCGATCCTCGATCCTACTGCTCCTCTGGCTCTGTCAATATCTCACCGGACATCTAATGCTAAATGTAGCCGTGGGAAGTAGGTGTACCACGCCACTATCACATAAGCGTGGGCCATTGTAAACAGTGTGGAGTCGTCGGACCGGTCGGCCTCAATTGAAGTCTGAAAACCTCGCGGCATGGAACTTGTAGTTACACGCAATTGTCGAGCTGGCAATGTCCGTTCCGGGTTCCCCATGGGTGGAGGCAGCCAAATTCAACTGTGGAACCCATGTCACAGCGAACCCACACCTGAAATGCGTAGGCACATGCACATGCACACAAGCCACACACGCAATTTCATGGTCGTTTACCTTCATAGGCGCACCAGTCACTTTACGTGGGAGGTGTTGAGAATGTGATGTTTTCGACTGTAGCCGCTAGAGGCGCTACTATCGGTGGGTCTATCGGTTCACAGATGTCGCCCCCCACCGGACATCCCTCGAATCAGCCTATGAGCCAGTCCAGGGTGAAGGCCCAGTCTGATTTATAAATGCCGTAGACATGTTTTGGCAACATTTGCTGAAGCCAGGGGTGGAACTTTATAGCTCTTTGGGGGCCCGGATCCCCGATGCTCTCGAGGATCCCCAATTAGAACCCCAGCTGAAGCTAAGTTGAGAAAACGGGTTTTAAATGCAAAATGTTTCTTACACATTTCGGTCCCTCGTGTGTATATAGACGGTGCCAATAATCGTTTCGTTTGCTTGAGGTCGGATAGGTACACATTTGTCAAATCAGGCGAAATCTTTACATGCTACCAAACATCTTACATATTCTAAATATAATGTTACCGCTCTTTGCACTTTATAAGATTGGAGTTGGACTCACGTCTCGGGGGGAGGGGAAACTACAAGTACACATGCCCATGGAGGACTGCCTCTGTTTGGGTTTTGTGGATAAGACATTGAGAACAGTCAGCTAATCGAAGCACTTGCCAGTTCGCTGTTATATGTGACTATGGCTAGCTGCGACAGCTCTGATGAGTGTCAGCCTCAGCTTTTTTTATTTTTTTTTATAAATTTAGTCCGAACCTTTTGATGGGAAGGATTCACAAGGACAGAGCCACCACTAAGCGAAGCTTGTTGCGATGACCCTGCCCTCTACCCTCCGATCGCGCAATTCCGATTCTATGGCAGAATTTAGAGTCCAAAGTTTTACGTGCGCACAAAGCCGCGCACGGCCGGTCCCCTCGCTGACTTCGCCTGGCTACGGCCTGCCACCAACCGCAACCATACCTGTCAGGAGGCCCTTAAATGTCGAGCGCCCGTCGCGCTTCGAACCCGGACTGTCATAACCGGGAACGCGTGCTCTCACCACGCGGAGTCCAACGCTCTAACCAACTGAGCTACGGGGCTCAGAGTCCTACCCTTGTCCGACATATCAGACACATTCGAACATAGTCTGTGGCCACGAGGCGTCTACTTGTTAACCCCACCACAAAGACGACCGTTTCGCTAACGCGCAGCTGGCGTCTACTGCACCGCTTATAATGAGTGAATTATTCCGCTCTGCACAGTGCAAACGCACGCATCGGAGCGGCTGTGGCC